CCCGAGTTGAAGACCCGAGTTTGTAGCAAAGATGTCAGACAAGATATGAATGTTTTTTTGAGCTCAAACGAAAGAGCGGGTCGAGAAATGGCGTGCTAGGACCTCTAAAGATGGTTTTGAACCAGGGGAGACTCCTAGACGCCAACGTTCTATACTATTTTCTCTTCATGAGGTGTGTAACGCTGTAGAGATACATTGGCCTGTCAAAGGGTGGTGGGAGAGAGGATATGGAGGAGAGGTTAAAATGAAATTAATAGGATGATATGCTTAATGACAATGTTTACTCATTTTTAACTATTGAGTGTAATTTATCATGTAATAGAAAACAGTCAGGGATCAAGCTTTTATTGTGCGGTACCGGAATTTTTACTATGCAGCACCGGAATTTTTCTGGTGCTAGACACTTGAACCCACTTTACCAGACGACACGGTAATTTTTGCCTGAATTTCTCCAGAAAAATTCTGGAATTTTTTTCCCCGTGTTTTTAAGTAATGTACAAACTCTTTCACACTTGAAAAACATTTGTACATATGATTATTTGATTCTCCTACACTTAAATATCCCCTAAATTGAATTTTCCGCTGACGAATATTCTGCTAGTTTCAGCTTCATAATTATTCATTATTATTATGTAATTAATATAATACTTCTCGACGACTCATGTTAATTTACAGAATGAGTGAGAGTCAAATTCGGGTCGTCTGGGCGGTATTCCTCAGCCCCATATTAACTGAACATTATACTGAATAATTTATTTTGTGAAATTAACAAAGTCGTTTTGGTGAAGTCTTTTATTAGTCAGCTTTTCTTCAACTCTCAAAGGAAATATTGTAGTCATTACATAATATTCAGGAGATTCAGGTTAAATATTAGAGTAAGATTCGAATTCATCTCCCCTCACGCTATTCTGCAGCTCCATTGATGCCCAGATGTCGTAACAGGCTGACATTTATATTAATCTGTTTAATGGAGTTAATTTAGTTTATTGAAAAACAAAATGGATAATGTTGTGACTGTTTTCGTCTCAGATATCCCGTGGTGATTGATAAGAGAGTGGAAGATATGGTGAAGTCAATAAGAAGAGTCGAGAGGTGGCGGAAAGAAATTTGATGTTTACTTAGTATCAAATGCAATTAAACCACAATTTCGCTAATTTAAACGTTTTGCTAATTATTCTAGCTCCTTCAATTAAACCCCAATTTTGCTAATTTAAGCATTTCGCTGATTATTTTAGCTCCCTCAGGCTCTCGGTGTGATCAACATTTAGTCTCACTATTTTATTCATTCCATCTCTGTTAATATCCACTTACCCATCTATTTTGATTCATTCGTTTTCTTTCATATTGTTTCCCTTGTGAAAATACTTTCTGAGATTATATCAATAGAATACAGAATCTGTGAATTCTAATTTTCTCGGTAGTTCCCCTCGAATCCAAAATAGTTGAATTTATTCCATCTTTATTAATGGCCATGTCATATAAGACTGACAATTATAATCATCGTTAATCGAGTTAATTGAAAACCCAAATCGACAATGTGGTGACTGTTTTAATTCCCAGATATCCCGTGGTGATTGATACGAGAGTAGAAGACATGTTGAGGTGAAGAAGAAGAGAGTGGGAGGAAAGAAGTTTTGATGTTTACTAATTTCAAACGCAATTAAATCACAATTTCGCTAATTTTTTGCTATTCAGAAAATTTCGCTAATTGCTCTAGCTCTCTCAGGCTCTCGGTTTATTCAAAATTTAGTCTCACTGTTTTCTTCAATCCATCTCCTAAGATCCACTTATTCATCTATTCTGATAGGTATTTCGTAACGGAAGATCATTCTCAATAATTGGTTTCATAGATTCAACTCAATTATTTCGTTGCAATCATCTTCATTTCCTTTTCTCTCATGTTATCTCTTAAAAAATATACTTTCTCAGCAAATATCAATAGAAAATATTATCTACGGGTTCTAATTCCCTGGGTAATTCCTCTCGAAACCAAAATAGTCCAATTTATTCCATCTTTATAGATGTCCAGATGTCATAACACGCTGGCAATTATAATAATCAGTTTAATGAAGTTAATCGAGTTCATTAAAAACTCAAATCGAAAATGTGGTCACTGTTTTCGTTCCCAGATATCCCGTGGTGATTGATACGAGGGTAGAAGACATGTTGAAGTGAAGAAGAAAAGAGTGGGAGGAAAGACGTTACTTGATGTTTACCTATTATCAACAACAATTATATCACAATTTCCCTAATTTTTGTAGATCCCTCAGGCTCTAGATGTGATCAACATTTAGTATCCCTATTTTCTTAATTTCACGTCTGTTAATATCCGCTTATACACACGGAGAGAAATATTCAATACAAATTACGTATCTTTTCCGTAATTCCGGAGCGAAATGAATCTCCTGTGAAAAATTACGATACCGTCACTTAAATTTTCTGAGTCGATTCCGTAATCGTGAGCGAATTGTGAGTTCTGTAATTTTTACAGAACATTTCTCTCCGTGTAGCTTCTGATTCAGTCATTTTTCTTCCATATTATTTTCCTTACCAAATATACTTTCTAAGATTATATCAATAGAAAACAGAATCTGAGCTCTAATTCCCGAGGTAATTCCTGTCGAAACTAAAATAGTCCAATTTATTCATAACCGGCTGACAATTATAATAATCAGTTTAATGAATTTAATCGAGTTCATTAAAAACCGAAATCGACAATGTGGTGACTGTTTTCATTCCCAGATATCCCGTGGTGATTGATAGGAGAGTGGAAGACATGCTGAAGTCAAGAAGAAGAACCGAGAGTGGGAGGAAAGAAGTTACTTGATGTTTAGCCATTATCAAACGCAAATTAACCCGCAATTAATTGTAACGCCATAATCACACGGATTTTCCACCAACTTATATATCTCGAACGGATAGTAGTCTGATCCATGCAGTAGCTGAAACCCAGGGACGAAAACTCGAAGGAGAACTGTTCAAGGGACGTTTTAAAGGAGCCGTGCGATGAGGAGAGCTAGTGGATAAAACACAAGTTTCTTTTTATTTAATCTGAAGAGGAGAGAACAGCCCATGCAAGCTGAAAGAATGAAGTGGCACGGCGTTGGGTGGAGGGGAATTGAGTGCCAGAGAGTGAGGGATTTAAATGGCCAGTGGGGTATCAAGTGGAACGCTGGTGACTGCAGGCCAACCACGTGAGGTGACTCGCGAGAGATACTGTATAAATAAAAACACATTGGCTGGAGCGACGAATAAGAGGTGAAAGAGGGAAGCCCTGGCGAATCGGGTACGAAATATTCGTGACGGTTAGTATAAATAACGTCTCAACAAGTTACTATTCTGGGGGGGGGGATTTGATAGGAAAAGAATTCTGGTGATAATGTGGTTGATTTATAATTTTTTTAAGGAGTTCATGGATGGGGAACATTTACATGAAGAACTGAGAGAATTTTTTGAGGGGGTAACGAAACTCTTCTAGCAAAATCAAAGAGTGTTATTAATTGACAAATTAAGCTTTATGAAATTTCATTTCAGGGAAATTTTCAGCTTTCAGGACCATTTTTAGTCGGGAAATTCGAAAATTAATTTTTACTCTAAAGGTATTTTTTCAGCTGAAGCATAAGTAAGGTCTCAACAAGTCAATATTTTGGGGGGCTTTGATAGGAAAAGAATTCTGGTGATAATGCGGTTGATTTATAATTTTTTTAATCAAGGAGTTCATGGATGGGGAACATTTACATGAAGAACTAAAAGAATTTTTTTAGGGGGTAACGAAACTCTTCTAGCAAAATCAAAGAGTGTTATTAATTGACAAATTAAGCTGTATGAAATTTCATTTCAGGGAAATTATCAGATTTCAGGATCATTTTCAGCCGGGAAATTCGAAAATTAATTTTTATTCTAAAGGTATCTTTTCAGCTGAAGCATAAGTAAGGTCTCAACAAGTCAATATTTTGGGGGGATTTGATAGGAAAAGAATTCTGGTGATAATGCGGTTGATTTATAATTTTTTTAATCAAGGAGTTCATGGATGGGGAACACTTACATGAAGAACTAAAAGAATTTTTTTAGGGGGTAACGAAACTCTTCTAGCAAAATCAAAGAGTGTTATTAATTGACAAATTAAGCTTTATGAAATTTCATTTCAGGGAAATTATCAGATTTCAGGATCATTTTCAGCCGGGAAATTCGAAAATTAATTTTTATTCTAAAGGTATTTTTTCAGCTGAAGTATAAGTAAGGTCTTAACTAGTCAACATTCTGGGGGGATTAGATAGGAAAAGAATTCTGGCGATAATACGGTTGATTGCTAATTTTTTAAATCAATGAATTGATTTAAACAATTAGTAATGAGTAACGAAACTCTTCAGACAAAACCAATCAGTCTTGTTGATTGAAAAATCAAGTCTCATGAAATTTCATTTCAGGAAAATGGACCATGTCCAATTGTCAGTAATTCGAGATCAGTAGAATGAAATTCGAAAATTTATTTCCATTCTTAAGGTATTTTTCAGCTGAAGTATAAACAATGTCTTATTAAGTTCATTTGCGGGGGGATTTATGATGAAATGAATCCTGGTGATAATTCGGTTGAGTGTTAGGTTTTTTAATCAATAAGTTCGTGAATGGAAAACATTTACATGCAGAAGTAGAGAATTTTCGTAAAAGTAACGAGACGGCCCAGTCTTGTCAATAAAGAAATTAATTTTTATGCAGTTTTATGCAGTAATGGAGAGAACAAATGGTATTATCAATCGTCAATGCCTTAAGAATGATATAATTAAATTCAAAGATTTTTTTTTCATTTTGAAGGTATTTTTCAGACTTTGCAATGAGCGCTGGCTCGTTCAGATCGCATCCTTTGATCAGGAAATATTGACCATTTTATGTTTTTCCATCTCGCCTCCCCTAACCCGGAGATATGCTTTGTTTGAATTAAAAAAACTCTATTGTAATCAAATTAATGAGTTCTTTCACATAGCTCGTGATACGGTTCGTATAAATAACGTCCCGACAAGTTACTATTCCGGGCGGACTCGATAGGAAAAGAATTCTGGTGATAATGCAGTTGATTGCTAATTCTTTGAATCAACGAGTTCATGGATGGAGAACTAAAAAATTTGTATGGGACTAACGAGACGATTCTAGTTAGTAAAACCAATGACTATTGTTAATTGAAAAATTAAGTTTCATGAAATTTTCTTTTCGGAAAATGGAACATTTTCAATCGCCAATAAGCTGCGATTGATGCAGTGAAATTAAAAAATTTATTTCCATTCTAAAGATATTTTTTCAGCTGAAGTATAAATAAGGTCTCAATAAATTAATTTTCGCGCGGGGGGGGGGATTTTATATGAAATGAATTCTGATGATAATTTGGTTGATTGTTAGTTATTTTCATTAATGAGTTCGTGAATGGGGAACATTTACATAACGAGTAAAGATTTTTTACGGGAGTAACGAGATACTTTAGTTGAAATCAACGAGTCTTGTTAATAAAAAATCCCGTTTTATGAAGTTTCATGAATTACTGGACAGGTGGATAAAATGAGCAATTTTCAACCGTTAATAACTCGAGGTTGGTAGATTAAAATTCAAAGATTTTTTATCTCATTTTGAAGGTATTTTTTTAAGTTTTAAAATGAGAGATGTCTCATTCAGATCACATCCTTTCCTCAGGAACTTGATTTTAATTAGCGTTTTTATTCTCATGAAATAAATAATTGTTTAATCATAAACCAATTATTTGAAATAAATTATTATTTGAATAAATAATTAAATAAATAATTGTTTAATCATAAACCAATTATTTATTTAATTATTTATTTAATTATTTATTGGTTTAATCACAAACCAATTACTTATTTTACTAATTAAAATTGAAATCATCGGTTTGTTAATATGTAATAATTTTTCAATTGCGCCAAAAATATTACGGAACTGAATAGAAAAATTTTCAGTTTTCTTCTCTATATTTTTGCTGTCTCGCTAATTATGACGGAAATCTTCCATCCGCCTTGTTTAGCCTCCAATTAGGCTTCCTTTGAACCTTCATAGACTGGGATATTCACTATTCACTCCGATGTGTTTCAAATTCTAGATGAATGTTCTGATGAATAGAGGGGACGTTGTGGGGGATATACTGCGAAGTTTAATTGTAACGAAACGACATAAACGAGTGGATGAACTGCGTAGCACTTTGGAGCGAGGTGGGCTGTGGGGACGTTGAACTTGGCTCTCTTTGTGTCTGAGCCCCCGAGGTGAACGGATCGAGCAGCGAGAACCGTTTGCACGCCCTCGGGATACCCTCTGGCTATTTTTTTCGGGAGAAATAGGAACTTTGGTCGGGTTTAACGGTTTCATAAGGGTGAGGACTTGGTCTTGGATGGATTTTCGTTCGGGGGAAGTAATGGGTTGAGGAAATTCTACACGTGTCACGTGTGGGCGCGACACGCGAGCCAATTTCAAACGGCCTTCAGCATTCTCAGTTTTGAAAAATCATTTTTGATGGATCGTTTTTCCTTTGTGGGCGCTTCTTTATTATCGGTTTGGGGGGAGGGGGATTTCTTTGAGGTATCGAGTAATTTTAGCTGGAGGTTTCGCTTTGTGGAGATATTTTTTCTCATTTGGCTTTGCATTGGGGGAAATACAATATTTTTTCTGCACTGCCCCTCACTTTTATTCGTCTGGCAGTTGGCATTTCATTCTTTTCCAACTCGCAAACGTGAAAATCACTGCAGGCGAATTATATTCGGACTGTAGGTGTGGGGTTTTTATACTCGGGTGGTTTGCCAGTCCTCTTCGGCGCGGACGCCAACACCACGCGAGTAGAAGACCCCATACACTGTTGAAAATTTTTGTCTGAATAGTATTGCAATTCTACTGAAATTTCAGGAAATCTTGTCATTGGAAATTCAGAATTTAGTGGAAAAATCAAACAGAATTGTGAATTTCCGGTCCATTTTTCCCTGAAAATGAATAGAAAACCAGAAAATTTTACTACATATATTCTTGAATTTTCAGGACAGTGACACTGAATGCGAGTTAGGGGGGAGAAATCATGAAATTTCAGATTTCACTGAAAATTCAATGCAATTGGACACTGAATATTCATACTAGATTGTAAATTTAAATAAATGAAAAAGTTCTCGGCTTTATGTTCCATAAAATTCTGAAATTTTACTGAATTTTCAGTGAAACCTGACAGTTCATGATTTTTTTCCCCCTAAATCGTATTCAGTGTCACTGTGTTAAAAATTGATAGTCAACTGACGGTGAAATTTTATTTTTCAAATTCCGGAAATTTTTATAGTTTTGCGATTCTACTGAAATTTCAGGAAATCTTGTCATTGAAAATTCTGGAATTTTACTGAATTTTCATTGAAACCTGAAATTTCATGATTTTTTCTCCCTAAATCGGATTCAGTTTCACTGTCTTAAAAATTGGTAGTCAACTGTCCATGAAATTTCATTTTCTTCCTACCAGTATACCATCGGTCCAAAAATATACTATCTCAAACAAATCTTGTTTGAACCGAAAAAATCGCAACTTGAAAATTATCGAAAAAATAAAATTTAGTGCTGACCATTTGAGGACTGTCCTGAGATGAAGAATTTTCGTCGCAAAAATAGATTCAGTTGTTACGAAAAATGTTTCATTCTCTGTGCAAGAATGAAATGTCAGTTCCAGCACTACTTCTTCGTTCTTCGATACTCCCATACGGATTTTGCTCACGATAAATATTCGTCTTATAGTCAACATGACGTAAATGATCACAAATAAGAAATGAATTCATAAATAAAATAATAATTGTGTAAATGATAACTATACTTGAGCCAAATATTTCGTTGTTGTTCAAAGCAAAGCGATTATGCATGTTTGACACTTTCAAATTCAAATCGAACACTCTCTGTTTTGTTATCTTTTAACTTGCGATTGTTTTGGTCGAAAGAAGACTCGTTTGCGAACTCGTTCGTTTTTCCCTCAGTGTGCTGTTTTCTTTGAGCAATCTTCTGCAATCAGCAGTCGATACTTTCATTGTTAGTGGTCATAAATTTCCTTGGAAAATAAACTGTCGAATGGTTTTCGAGGTAGTGGAGTTCGGGGAAGCCCTGCAGTGGCTATTTCTCGGGCTGCAAACCGGGGAGTCTGTACCTTTTTTATTCCTAAATTGACCAATTACGCTGGCTATTGCTCCTACATGGGTCCCAACCCCTGCGATTAGAACGTCCGAATATAGTTCAGGAGAGAATGAAATATAATTCAGGAGGGAACGAGACGATGTGCTCTCGATTTACGAGTGGTTTTCGAGATATTGAAATTTTTATATGTCTTTCGCAGCTCATTGTTCTCTGCAAAAATATGACGAGGAAAATCCGTCGATCTCTTGCGCATTCAAAAATACATGTCAAAAATTGATTAGAGTTCATAGCAGAGATGTCAGACAAGATGTGAGTGAGAATCTACCGTGGATCCACGGTAAAATTTACCTTGGAGAGTGCGAATAGACACTGCTTAATTTTTACGGAACAAATCGTAGAATTTAAGTGGGGATTTGTACAATTTCAGTTCCGACTCACGCTTTTTATTGAATTTTACTTTGCTCGCCAATTACGTTTCGAAACGTACTTTTTACGTTTTTTTCTGGTCATTTTTATTGAATTTTTCTGTCCTTGTATCAAATGTTAAATTATTTAGCGGTTGATTCGTTAGTATCATTGCTCTTAAATTTTAGTTATCAAAGTAATCATCAATTTAAATATTCAAATTCCCGATTATTTATTAATCAGTAATCCCTTATAAAAAATTTAGTATATTTAATTCATCATCGATTGGCAATTTAGATTATGAATTATTTTACGTTTACGATGTTCTCTTAATCCATTTTTCTCTGAACAACAGTAAATCCAACGAGAAAAATGGTTCATTACAATTAAATGAATTTCATTTGAATCGAATAAATGAGTTCATTCAAATAGCTCATGATAAAATTCTTATTCAAACTCAAATTCAATTTTTATTTGTGTAACACTTATTTGTTCTTCTGATAACCTTTATTTTCGGCCATTAATTGACTCTCTGTAAATCCAATGATTATAACTCCTGTTCCATTTCATTATATAGAGCCAATGACCAAAAAGAGACCCGAAAATTCAATAATTATTTGATCAAAATGATAATTTTATTAGTTTAAAACAAAAACTTTGTTTGAACGTCTAAGAGAATAAATTATTTCCCCCACACAATTGAAACATTTTCATCAGAATAAATATATTAGTTCAGCAATGCCCAAATAAAATATTGATGAAATTGAATAGAATAATTTCCACACAATTAAAACAGTTTATCGAAAGAAATGTACCAGTTCAGCAATTGCCAATTAAAATATTACTGAATTAACTAGAATAACTTCAAAGAAGAAAATTTACTTGATTCAAAAGCTTCATTTCTGCTGTCGTAGTTCTTTCTACAATTGAAGTAAAAATTGACCGTTCAAAGAACACTTGGCAAACCCCAATTTGTTTGGCCCAGACCTATCCCTTTGTTTTCGTCATCGCCCCGTCCCATCGTCGCCTCTTTGTTTAGATACCTAGACAATGTCGCGCAGACTCCCAAGATTTTTGAAGCCGAATTTTATCGTACACACAGAGGAAATTGACTTTGCGCATGACACGCACCCGTACACTCACCCCTGAACCGCTCTCCCTCTCTCTTCCGTTCGGTTTATTTATTTTCCTTTTTTTATGGATAGAGAGCGAGAGAGAGAGAAAGAGACGGACAGAGAGAGGAGAGAGACCCTGCGAGCGGCTGGATGCCGCCGAGGGTTCTTTATTCAAATACAACCGAACCACCGTGCGCAATCTCTCGTTGGAGTATGCTTATCTCGTTAACATTGACCAGTAGTTTTTTCATAAAAGTTTTATAGAATAGAAGATAGAATTATTTTTACGTTCATTGGACGATAATGATGTTGGTGAAACGCTTCACCGAGTGTTGTCTCGGTAACTTTGNAGAGAGAGAGAGAGACAGAGAGAGAGAGAGAGAGAGAGAGAGAGAGAGAGAGAGAGAGAGAGAGAGACGGACAGAGAGAGGAGAGAGACCCTGTGAGCGGCTGGATGCCGCCGAGGGTTCTTTATTCAAATACAACCGAACCACCGTGCGCAATCTCTCGTTGGAGTATGCTTATCTCGTTAACATTGACCAGTAGTTTTTTCATAAAAGTTTTATAGAATAGAAGATAGAATTATTTTTACGTTCATTGGACGATAATGATGTTGGTGAAACGCTTCACCGAGTGTTGTCTCGGTAACTTTGAAGGTGACTCTTCGAATCAATGAATTTTTCAATGAACAGTTGAGTAATTGATTGATTAATTGTGTAGTGAAGTAGGAAACTAAAACGGTCGATAATTTCATTCACTCGATGTCACAAATATCTTGGAAAATATGATTCAGGGACGAATGTGAAGTTACATTTTTGAAGATCTTGAAATTCTCGAGGAAAAATGTCTCTTGGTTTTTATTTCTAATGCATTTAATCACTGAGTTATTTGTAAGATTATGCACAAAACTTCCGAAATGATCCAAAACGTCCGAAATGATCTGTTTTTTATTACAGAAAAGGTCATGAATGCCGTTTGGGGAATATCTGTAGAACTAATATATTTATTCAGAGATACGAAGAGAGGCATGACGTGTTCTGTGGAAATATCTTTCGATTTTTTTTGCAAACCTGTGAATTTCTTTTTTTTAATAATTTCAATGTTGTTATTTGTCCAATTCTCAATAATGAGACTATTTTTAAAATACCTTGGAAATTGATTGATTTGATTGTTTGGATTTATCGACAAATCTTAAAAGGATTTTGAGAAAGGCCTTTTAACCCTTAATTGAAAGAAAAAAATTCTGGCAGACAATTATGAACCTTTGATAACTGAATTGTTTACAACGAGATCGGTTTTTTAAACTTCTCAACTTTCTAAAATGTCTACAATTTCATGGATTCTACACTTTTTATTCACAAATTTCGAAAAAACTTTTTTCAACTCATGAAATTCTTTATAAAAAGCCTTTTCCAAAAATTTTGCCTTGAAATATCAATCACTAAATTTCTCACAACTGCTTTCAAAATTCTCCGCAGTTCCATCTGCCATATTCTATCAAACATCTCTGGAACTATGAAATTTGAAAAAAATATGGAAAGTCCTTTTTGCTCTATCTAAATTCAAGAAGATGCGAACGTCGACATGAAAAGGGACCACTTTGTCGATATGGAATTATGCATACTTTGATAAATTGATAAGATTCCGCACTCTTTGAACCCAAAATCTGTAGCGAAGTGGTAAATTGGGATAAATGCAATTTTTTTGAAAAAAAATTTTATTCCTTGAATCGAAAATCACGTCGGTGGAGAAGATGAATAAAACAATTTAACATTGATGTAACTGAGAGTCATAGCTGAGACAAAGATGTGGTCCCTTTTCATACGAACGTCCCCAGATATCACCAAAACCAGCTACACCCCTAAAATTACCCCCTGTAATCCCCCGCCCCCTTAAATTTCCAGAAATGCACTGCCTTGGAGCAATAGCAGGTGCCCCGCCACCGAGCATGTCGCCCCCATCGCAGTCTGTAAATCGTGGCTGTGTATTGAGTGTGATCCGAGCTCTAGGAGTCTTAGTCTGTGAGGGAAGAATTCAGGGTCCTCCACGTGGCTACAGAGAGGGCCCTCACTGTGCAGCACCCCTCCAACCAGGTCCCAACCAGCACACATGTGACAAGCAGCACTATCTGGTAACTACCCCATCATCCCACCCCCCAAAACGCAGATCATAAGCCCTCATCACTGAAGATAAATCCCACAAACGACCTCATCAGTCCCCCAATCATTCTCCAATCAATGCATAAAATAAAATTACAGTGCAATAGATATCTCGTCCTGGTGAAGGAGATTGCCGAGAGGGTGTCAATGGGCTCGAGCTTGTGCATCGAAGTTGTAATGTGCAATGACTGTCCGTGTGGATTGTCAACGGCCACCAGCACTAATCCAGTATCACCAATACCGTCCACTTTAATTCATCAATGGCCAAACACTGAGATGCTGCTGGAGTACTGGTGCATTGGCGTTGTGGCGAGTAAAAATTCCGAGATGATGAATTCCCAAGGTTTGTATCAGGCAGTTCGTTCACGTCTTCACTTCAGTCAGGTGGCAGCCTGGTGGTCCAGGAGCAATGGTTCAAAGCCAACGTACGTGGCTACCAGAGTTGTTCCCTACAATTCTGACAATCTTCGTAAATTTCGTGAGGTACCGGTGGAGCACACTTTTCCACTGGCATCCATTGGCGATGGAAATTCCGTGAAAGTTTCTGTTTGGGCCCTGCCACGAATGGAGGACATACCTGAGCTCAAGTGTCCTCTGCATCCGTCAGTGGAGGGCAAGGAGGACGAGTGTGCGAGGGCACTGACACCAACCAAAACAACACTGCCACATTCTGGGGAGCAGACACTTGTTCTACCAGCGCTGGTGGATGATAGGCTACAGACACCCTGCAATAAACCTGGGAAACATCATTGTAGGTGTGAGGAGGAGGAGGGCAGCCCACCGTCGCCATCCATCAAGAATGGGGAGAGAAAACGCAGGAGATCACTGCCCTGTGGACCGCCGGATACTCAGGCCAATGGACATCAGCTGGCTTCGGTCAGTGAAGTCGCCACTCCGGGGACTGGGGGTGATGGACCGCGGGAGAGGATTGAGGGGGGATTTGAGAGGAGTACGTATGTGGGGAATGGGAGTTTGGAGAGGTACTTTTGGACGCAAGTCAGCTTGGATGAGGCTGAGGGGAATAATGAGAAGAGATATAAACCGTCTTCTGAGGGCTGCGAGGGAGAGGCCAAGAGGGAGGGGAAGGCGGAGCTCGGTGAGATACTTTTTTAATTTTTTATTATTGGGATGTTGGTCATTGGGACATCTTGATGTGAGGAATGGTGAAGTTGACTTATGATGAGGGATTTTACGGAGGATGACAGTTTATAGGTTTCAGAATGTGTGTTTTCTTTAGGATAATAATTTTTATATGCTATTTTCGCAGAAAAATGGCGAGAGTTCAGGGATAAAGCTACTTATTTCAAGTGGAAGATGTTTTCAAAATAAGAACAGTCGGATTTCTAATTCGAGAAAGTTTAGAGCATTTATTGTCGTGAGGTTGATAATTTTTTTACTCAATTTTACAGGAAAATTATATAGAGTTCAGTAAAAAAAGTCCTCAAAATGAGACCAGTTGGGTTTTTAAATTGAGAATATTTGCGTTCATGAACTGAGAACATTTGAAAGGGAAAAAGTTCCGGATCGATTGAACATTAATTCAACGTTAAACGAGTCGAACTGTCAGTTGATAGACTATTCATAGCAGAGAAGTTATGAATTATGTGCAGAGATATTTTTGAAAACACTTGAGACACGAGTAGATTAATTTTAGAACAGGGGAAATCATGGGTACAAGAAATTGAAGAGAAAAATTTGGCTCTTAATTTAAAAATCCATTTGTTGTGAATTCAAGAACCACGATTTCCTTAAAATAATCGAAAAGTTATGATAATTCAAGTATAACTATAATAGGCAAATGAATTGAGCATGGCATAGCAAAAATTAAGTGTCTAGTACCATTTTCAAGGAAAATTGTCTTACAATAGGCGAAAATTTTATATATTCCACGTCAAGTGAAGTTTAACAAAGTTTTTCCCCGCCTCTAGCGTTTTCGAAGAAAACGTTTACAATCATCTTCCTATTCTGCGAACATTTCTGAAATTATCAGTTTAGATAAGACTCTTAATGGAACCTCGTCATTTTTTCGATGAAGCATTCAAGCAAAATAGATAAACAAATAGTTCCAATCGCAATAACATTTTATGAATAATTAAAAATAATCTACATCTCTCAAGTAAATACATAGCAAAAATTTTCCCTCAGCGCAACAGTATTCAGTTATTTTAAATAACTCCCCCAAAACAACAATTTCAAGCAGCCTCTCCACCTATTCTTCCAGGAGCCATCACCCACCTTCGAGTAAAGGACCCAAAGCCCCAGTCATTCGTGCCTTTCGAGCCCAAAGAGCTCCACAAAACCCCACCCCAGCGTTCTTCAATCAGCACCGAGCCAAATCTCGTGATAAACCCATTCACCGAACGAAGTTCCTTCCACGAGCCCAATCCGGGCCCTTCGACGTTACGAAAAGAGGTGGCATCCCTCCCCTGCACAGTCCACATCAACTACTCCCTGTCCTCCCGAAAGGCCCCAAGCGAGCGAATCTACTACAGCCTGGACAAGCCCGAGAAGCCCCCATCCGACCTGACCCACCTGATGTCAAAGCTCTCTTTCCCAAAGGACGTGAACAAAGCCCCCAAGGAGGACGGTGGTATCCTCGACTGGATCAGCCGAGTCCCTGGAAGAGTCCTCAACACCTCCCCAACGCCTGACAAACCCCACGACCTGACCCCACAGCCACAAGAACGTAGTGATCACGAAGTGAAAGCCTGCAACGCGGTAAAACTTAAAAACTGCAATTTAGAGCTCAGCCAGCGTGAGTTTGACGAGGTACTTGCTGTACTGAGATCGAGAACACCATCAGGTAGACGTCGTACACCAGTGAAGACACTTCGTCGTCGTGAGAGATTAGAGAGACCCCTTGACGATGGTTATTATGATAAGAGAGATGGCTGTGTGTGTCCCATCCACAGGGAGGTGGAGAGTACCTCGAATGCTGTTGAAAATTGCGGATGTCGGTCTTGTGGGAAATCAATGGAGAACGGGGACATGATCAAAGTCGAGAGGACGATTGAACCATGTCTGCAGAGTGTCTCTAATAAAGCTGACGTTTTATTGGGGGCGATACTGAGGACCAGTGGGGATAGAAAGGGATTGATGGACATTTCGAATGGCACGAGGCCACGAACAGTCTTGAACAGCAAGGAGGTGAAGGGTGATGGGGAGCACGTGATAACGACTGATGTCAGGTCGTCGAGATCACGACAGCTGGAGGAGGACAAGTTCCCTATGGCGTTGAACAAACGACTGCAGAGGATTCAGCAGCTCTTCAGGAAGGTACAGGAGAAGAAGAACTCGATCGAAATGGCTAATGGATTTCAGGAGATCATGAGCCAGGCGAGATTTGCACAGGTGGGGGGCGAGACCAAGGACAATGCCAGGGGCAAGAGGACGATTGATTTGTCGGGGAAAATGGAGTGTTACAAGCCACTGGTTGATGACCCTGATTGCTCAGGGGATAGTTCATATTCGAATAGTACAAATTACAAGTTTAAAGACTTTAATAATCACCATGAAGCCTCAGAGACAGCTGTGTCTTCCACGATTGGTGAGGGGGAGGAGGACGACGATGTGGAGGAGGAGATCAGGAAGATTCAGGAGGTGAGGGGCGAGGAGGAGACCAGTGACTGCAGGGTGCCCTCTGCCATCGAGCAGGAGAGATTCAGGAGGTCTTTGGAGAATGCTGCGTCTATGGTTTTTCACAGCAGGACTGGGCTACCTCTGACCTCGAGTCCTGCTCCGTTGAGGAGGGGAAGCTGCTGCTTTGATTATGACAGCAGTTTGAATACTGTTTCATCGAAGAGGAGTGCACTTTTTGAACTGAATACACCACCCAGTCCTGGCGCTGTTTCGTTGGAGGAGACTGACAGGGAGATTGATCAGTCTGGGGAGGGCTTCGAGCAGCCCAAGAGGTCGTCGTCCACTAGGAATAGACCGCAGAGCCATGCACTGCTGGGGAGCTTTGAGGAGTCTGCACTCAATGGAAGGTTGGAGCCTGTTTCCACTGTTCACGGGTTCACTGCTGAGATCGGGGCCAGCGGGTCGTTCTGCCCCAAACATCGAAAACTTCCTGTTACAGTGTTCTTTTATACGCTTGGGGATAATGATAAAGTGTCGAGTCCATATCTTGTAAGTTTGATTTTCTTATTTTTTGGATGGAATTTTATTTTATTTTTTTGGTTTCTGTGGAATTATGGGGTTGAGGAAAACCTGCTGAGAGATGTTTTTTGACTAATAGCCTTTGAGACTAATGAAAATATGAGAATCAGTCTTCAAGTATCATTTTTTATGCATTATTTTAACAAATGTCTTAAACTACAAGATTCAGAGAGCGTTATCAAGAGATTTTTGTTTGTAGAAAAATTATTGTCGATCGAAAAAAGTCGCCTAGTTGTCGAGATATTTATGAAATGACAGGCACGACATTTTTTTAACTTGCACCTGTCTTTATTATTTAACCATAGAAATTTATCCTGACTTTCTTTGTGGAGTATTAATTGTTCCTTGGATTTTTTAGGCTCATATTAACCTGGGGAAGAAGGGTTATCAGGTACCGAGGAGTGGTACAATCCAAGTGACATTACTGAATCCTTTGGGCACTGTTGTTAAGATGTTTGTCGTACTCTACGATCTGTCTGACATGCCACCACGATCTCACACTTTCTTACGACAGAGAACTTTGAGGGACAAGACACTACGCTACCTCATTCATCTCAGGTAAATTGTTATTGATGAAAATCAATCAAGAAAAATCGTTCAGGAAGTAGTCAACTCACCTTTAGAGTTAATTTTTCGTCTTTCTTTCTGCTCTGTAAAAATAGTCTTCACACATATTTTGCTCGATTCCTTCGTCTTTTATATATTTGCAAATGTTTGAAAACTGAATAACTGAATAACATATTATTAAAATTTTTAGGTTTACCCTGAAAATCATTAACAACTAGTTCAATATTTTTAATGAAATCCTGAATAACATGAAATTCCTCTGTAATTTCATGATATGATGACAATGCCGTGAATATAATTAAATTTTTATCATTTTTATTTCATAAAAATTCCATTAAAAATTTCAGTTGAAGATTTTTAACAATACTCAATTTCTATAATTAATTAATCCAATAAAAAATTATGATTTTCCATTAAATTTCTAGATTCATGTCTGGTAAATCAGGCCGCATCTACCTTCACACAGACATAAGAATGATAATCTGTCGTAAATCAGACGTGGACACAGCATCTGATTTTGGCTCAGAGCCCCCGAAGGAGTTGAGAAGTTACATTCACGGTCCTACGAATCCAAAATTTTCACCAAGGTGCTGAGCCTCGTGGTTATTCCCGTGGGGTTGTTGCCAACCGTTTCGCCTATCTAGTCCTCCCCTCAGCGTCGAAGTATGAAATGAGTTTTCGTCAACAAAAAACACAATGAAAAATGAGAAAAACCAAGCAGCTATGATTGAGTTGTCCCCGATGAATCGATTGTAGTCAATAATTGCCATTGTCAATTGCAAGAGTTTGGAAGGGAGGGAAGAGCATTGGGGAACTGGACTCTTGTTGGAATCAGTTGTCAAGTCGTGGGATTGAATTGTCAGGCGAGATGTTACTGCCATGGGTAGTACTCAACGAGTGAAAAGAAGGCAAATTAAACACGTGATATAGAGTAATGGGAATCCAAAGAATGGCATCCAATGATCAAAGGTGATTTTAGTTCAGTTGTCGAGTGATAAAATGTCATCACATCATCAACAATTGCATAATAATCTTGAGAGATTAATTAATAATTCCCAATAGTTTCCCGTTGAAGACCGAATTGGGGGCAAAAAACATAAAAATTCATGACGTTTTGTCCCTCAACTCCTGAATTTTCTCTAACGTAAAATTATTTTCATTTACTCTGTTCAACATAAATGGAAAGGAGGCGAGAACAAACGAGTAGCAAAAGGCGTGATATTTTGGAATACAACTATTTTTGGAAAAAAAAAGTGGAAAGTTAAAGCCAAAAAAATTGTGATGCATTCGTCGTGATTTCCCATGAGTGAAGACAGGTGGAACAGAGAATTATATTATTTACACGTTTAATGGAGAAAATGAAGAGAAGTGAAAAATAAAAAGAACACATTTTTTGTGTCAGTAGCACTGTGATGAATATTATAGATTAAATGATACATATTAAGGATGAAAAATATATTTGCGCTGTAGAAATTTCGTAAGGTTAATCTTCTATTGTGCTAATTACTGTGTCGATGCAGAGTTGGATAACGTAATCGATGAGTTGGCGACTATTGTCAGGGGTAAGAGATTTAATACCACTGAACATGTCATTTTGATTGGATTATCGATAATGGAAAATATCGAGTGGAGTGGTGAAGGGTAAAATGATTATTACATCTTTCATATCTCGTTGGACGAAGGACGAGGGGACAAAATAGAAACTTCAGAATTTTTTTCCAAGTGTTTAAACTTTATTCAATTGTTGACGAAATAGAATTTTTTTTTCCTTGAAGAGTGCTCTTGTAGTGAGCCCAGTCTGAGCTCAATTGATCAATTTATTCCTGAGTTACGAATATAAAAAAATGCCTGAAGTGTCCATTTTGCCCATGAAATTAACAAGAATGATTTATTTATTACTTTTTACCACTTCACTTTAGTATTGATAAATCTTCAATTTCGTTAGATTTCAATGCAGAACAGAACAAAGGGATTTAAATAATTGATTGATGAATTAATAGTTGAATTGTTGCTCATGTTTATCTGAGAGTTTCAGTATGCCTTAGAATGTTAAAGTAAAAACTCAATATTTAAAGTACTAATTGACTCTGGCTGCTGAAATAATTATTTTCACCAACGATTGATAATTTCAACTATTGATTTGTAAATTTACGTGTAGTTTGGATTACTTTTGATGAATTAGACTTCAATGGCAGTGGAATAAACATCACCTGTGTAATTGGTCGAGGTTTAAAGTAGATGAGACCGTGAAATTAAATAATGATTAATGTAATTGATGACATTTTTTCGATTCTCAGTAGTTGCGTCGTTGTAACGATGATGAAAAATGTAAGTGGAATGAAGTAGTGTGCATAATCACTGCCATGCTGTATAATATTTTATAGCATAGGTCACACGTTCCAATTGAGGGGGAAATGAAAGGTGTGGAATGAAGTTCAGGGGTGAATACACAAATTTAATGACACGTCTCGTTAACGAACGCCTGGTCGAGGTCTCTAAATAGAAATAGGGGAATTCGATGAATACTTGTAACCAAATGGATACTGGAGAGGATTTTTGTTGCCAAGTGGGAGAAGGTAATCTGGTCTAGAATTTCATTCAGTTTTTTTTAGGAATATCCCTGGAGTTGTTGAGCTGAGGGAAGAAAGTCGAATAGTTTTTGGAGACAAGAAATTTTCCTATAAAAAATATATTTCATATTTTGCTCTCAACTAATTCGTTTCAATTTTTTTATGGATCTGGAATCTTTAAAAAATTATCTCTTGAACTGTTGGGTTGAGGAAAGAATATTAAATTGTTTTTTTGGAGACAAGGAATTTTCCTGAAACAAATATATTTCATATTTCTCTCTCAACCTACTAGTCTCAGAAATATTTACGAAATAATTTTCGAACTCTTTTCAATTTTTTCATGTATTTGGAAATTTCATTTAGAATATCTTATAAATATCTCTGGAACTTTTTGTTGTCGAGTGGAAGAATGATATCAGTTCATGAAGTTCATTCAGAGTTTTAAAAAATTATCTCTTGATCTGTTGGGTTGAGGAAAGAATGTCAAATATTTTTTTGCAGACAAGAAAATTTCCTACAAAAAATATGTTTCACATTTTGTTCTCATCCCACTAGTCCCAGGAAATGATTCATTTTGATTTTTTCATGAACTCGGAAATTTCACTCGGAATATTATGTAATTGTCTACGAAACCACTTGGTTGTTTCTAATGTACAAATTAGTTTAGATGAAATCCTTCATCTTCACCACTTCGCTACACATTTCATTCACTCCAGAAATCTCAATTGTAATTTCAATCTCAGCGATAGTTTGAAGGTCATAATCAAGACGATGAATTCACAATCAAAAGGAGATGTAAGAGAACGAAATGTTGTATCTCAAATTGAATAATTAATTAGGTAGTCTTTCGGATCTCAATAGATATTGTGATAAAAAAAAATCTTCGTGTCTGGCGTGATGTAGAAGTAGTTGATAATAATCGACTCCTTATTTTTTATTAAGAAATACATGATATATATTTTCGTGGAAGCATATATGTGGTGCCAAATTCGCCGCTTTTTAGTTTCTCTAAACTTTTATTTTTTCGTTTGTTTGGAGGGAAATCCAGAGGAAGTGGGGCAAAATGGGGTCCTTTAAATCTTACCAAAATTACAAAAACATAAATGTTAAACCTAAAAACGATTGAACACAAGAAATTTTTAATTTTTTTGCATCTCATTAAATGTCAAATTATCTCGTTAGTGAGCGATTTTAGGAGGAAATGCTAAAAGATTTTTTTTTCGGAACTGTAATTGTTCATAAAAAAGATTTGTGACATTTTCTCCTCAAGTCAACAGTCTTGAAAATAAAGAAAGAAATTCAGAACTTGAAATTTCACAATTCCATTAGTTTTGTCCAATCCACTTTGCCCCAATTTTTCAGCTGCGTATATCCCTGCTTTTCATAAATTTGATGAATAATTTGCTAAAATTGTAGTTACCACATGCAAAACGTGGTGAATCAGCTTTAAACGCAAACGTATATCTCTCATTAATTACTCAAGTCGAATTCGTTTTTAAAATAAGTGATAATTTGAGGTAATCGAGATAAAGCAAATGCGAGTTGCGTGTGGGTCGTAATAATATAAAATAATGAATTTTTCATTCGTATAAATGAGAAATACAACTGTGAAGGAAGAAAAAAAAAAGAACAATTCGGAGGGAAAGGAAAAACGTCCAGATTCAGACGCAACGAACTGTTTATTGATTGAATATATTTTTGTTCTGCTTTGTTGTGAATTTTTATCAATTGGCCGAATTCGTTCGATTTCCGTGTTCGAGACCAGGCATCTTGTACATAGAGCAGCATTATTTTATAAATAAAATATTGTTATCACAAATCCTCAGTCCTCATTCCATGAAATCAAAGATCATCATCTATTCACTCAAACTCAATTGTTTAATTATCAAAAAAAAAAGAAATTGTCTTTAAAAAATGACGAAATTTATTCTATTAATTAATTTATTCATTAGATTGATGATTTAGTTAATTTAATTTCTCAGTAAATAGTCAAGGATGGAATGCTCGTTGAAAATGAAAGAAAATAACGCAAAAATCATTTCCAAATTGATATTTTTATTCATATTGATTGATAACGTTGCATCACTCGTGCTGTCAACACTTTTTAATAACAAATATCACCATACACTCGTCATCTCACAGTCACAATTTCCTCCTAAATTTAGTACAATTTTTCTACTCCTATTTCTGAGATTAACTTCGACATTATGCGATTTTCGAGTTTAATATTAAAACTAAAAAACACCGTTGTCTATTCCCTCATCTCTAGCTCGATATATAAAGTACAAAGACGTTGACAATTTAGTCATTGAATATACTTGGTGCAGTGAATCACTGGCACGCGTGTCTTGTCCTTTGTCCCTCAACTACATACGATTCCTCATAATGTGCCATACAATTAACAATAATTCAGCTCGTCGACTGAGTAATATGGATAAATAATCACAGTTTTCGATTTTTTTTTTATTCTCTCGAGTCGGAGATTTTCACGAAAATAATCAGAATATTTCAACGTAAAACTACGCATCAATTCAGGAAAAATTGCTCGATTGTCGCGTAATAATTAAAATGATAGAATAAAAAATCGATTTAAAAATACGTAGAAGAAAAAAAAATCTCGTAAGAGCAGTGATACGAATTGTCAGTGATTTCTCCATTGCATTGAAATAATTACTCCAACTTTTGCAGTTGAAGTGACAGTGAAGGGAAGAATAAGGTGAATAGAGTTTATGATTACGGGGATGGGGGTGAATTAATGTTGGTCCGAGTCGTCTGGGCTCTGCTAGCAGGGCCTTGCCAGGGTTTTCACGTTGTTGGAGCTCATGCTCAGCTGTCTGGTTGCCATACCGGTCCCGCAGGAGCTGCTCCAGTCGGCGGTGGGTAGGGGAGTTCGGTAGAACTTTGTTGATGTCTTGTTGAATATTGGTAGTAGCTCGTTTGCTTCATTGGAAAGTGCCTGGATGATGAAGAAATGAGAACTTATTGTTTAATTTGTTTTTTAAATAACTTCGGAACTAGAAATTGTAGGGAAAAACAGTAGGAAAATATATTTGGAGGGCGTCACTTCAAACATATTTGCCAATCGATGCCATTTACTTATAGACTTGTTTCCTTCAAATTATCAATTAATGATTCTGTGTAGATTGTTCTGCAAATATCTTTAAAAATAAGAAGTTTAAGGAAAAACTTTACTATTTTTTGTAGTTTGTGAGAGTTATTTCTGCAAATTAATGCAGCTACTTTTTTAACTCTTGTTTACTTTAATTATTTCTTGTAATTGTTTCTTGTAAGTGATCACTGGAACTAAACCACTGCCTTTCAAAGATATTTTTGGTGGGGACAGTCTCATCTTCTCTATTACTTCATCATCAAAATTAACAATATTACCTTGAGATAAATCACAGCATCAGTGCCATATCCCTCACAACTCAGCACGACGAGATCCCCATGGAAATACCTCGCGTATAATCTAGATAAGGGAAGCCCATAACCGTAGCCAGCAAGTGGCACTGTGTGTGCATCAGATTTGCTGGGTTGAGGAGCGGTGCTGTACATGTATTTGAACAGGTGGTCCATCTGAGAACGTGGAATGCCTCCTCCTCGATCTGACATCTGAAATAATCCCCGGGAAATTCATACTCGTATAAAACTCGGTTATAAACATTGAGAAAAAAACTGCTTTTTGAGAAGTACGTCTTTAATTCTATGAAGAAAATCATAGCTCGAAAATTTTCAAGAGCAAAATATCTTACATTGAGAAAAAAAACTTTCGTCCAAGGAGTTTCTACTTGTCCAGAAGATGAGGACAATTGATTTATGATAAGAAAGCCACTTCTCAAACTACGTCAAGTGGTTTTTACATTCAAATATTTTTAATTTAAAAACTAAATAAAAAATCATTGGACTAAATATTCTGGAATAAAGTAATTTAACTAGAAATTAACAAATTGTCTTCATTTTTAAGACGAGTAAAAAATCTCTTGGCGGAAGTATTGTTTTTCCGAGTGTAAGAGATTGCTCTTGAAAATTTTCGAACTGTGAGTTTCTTGACAGAAGTGAAGATGCACGCCTCAAAAATTTTTTTTCTTTTGAGTTCACGTGAAATTTAATCTTGTATTCACCTTCAGACAAATGTCCTCTTTTCCCCTGACCAGGGTCACTTCCACGGGAGGATAATCCGCGTCTGACCCATGGTGCTCCATCACTGCTCTCATGCTGTTCTTGAAGAGCTCGAACAGCATGTGGTAGAGGTGACTGGGCACGTAAACTATCCTGATCTCGGTGCCATGATCAAGTTCTAGAAAATAAAAAAAATTACGAAAAAATAACTTTTGGTAGTAACAAAATTCAAGCAGGTGCATAGAAAAATGTCAAGAGATCTTGGTGTAGTCCACAAAGTTATCTACAGAAAAATTTCATTGATCATTTCTCCCTAAAATTATTTATTTGAGAAATATTTCCAAAATAATCTGCGAATTCTGCGATTTTACCTCAGTGAAATTCCAACTAAATTTACAAAATACTTGGAACTTGAGACCATTTCAAATAATTTCATATAGTTAAGGTCGGGATTACCTCTGAAAGGAGCAAGTTTGAAATAGAATTTGGAGAGATTTTTTGTAATTCATAAAATTTTTTGCAAAAAATGTCTTCTGATCATTTTATTCAAACTAGATTTTTATTTTTATTTCTCTCTCAAATAGACTTTCTGATAAAGCTTTAAAAACTACTGTCTGATTTTTTTTGCAAAAGAAAATCTCGTTTTTTAGATCATCTCAAGTAGCATGTTTAAAGAAAAATCTCGAAAAAGCTTTTTTTACTCTATAAAATTCCTTACGAACAATATTTTCCAATATTTTTTATTTCTTCACAATCATTAGTTCCTAAGCCATTTTCAACGAAACTCTGAATTAATTTCGCCTTCACATCCTCCAACATCTGGAAATCGACGAAGTCCACGAAGTTCAACAAATCATTAGAACTTGAACTCACCATTATGCTGTTTCACAATCAATTCTGGACTGGCTAGATAATATTGATCACACAGAAATCGCGCATTCTCATAAGCGTCTTTAACGACACCAATAACGTCACACCAAGGATCGATGCAGCCCACGTGCCTCTCGTTGCCATTGAGTGCCCCGCCGAAGAGTATTGCTGCGGAAAAAAGATAAGAACTCGGTTGACATCAATCCGCAACAGAAGACAATAGAGCCCCTCAAGGTCTCTCAACTCGACTCACTGTGCTGGTTTATCAGCATTCTGATCGACACTCTGGACATGAAAAATCTGTCTAGAAAATATTGAATACTGTTCTCCATCTGTCCATCGACATCATGAGACTCTTTCAGCTCGAGGATACCTTTAGCCATGACTTCGACTACGTCAGTGTGACGATTGCGGATTTTAACGAGAGCTTGACAGAATCTGAAATGAAGAAATTCAACGGAAATTCATCAAAACGATTTTTTCATCGCTTGTGCGCAAAATCCCATTTTCTATACATTGTGAAAAAAATGGGGGTTGACACTCGCGAGAAAAGTGTTTGGCGTTCCATACTATTCTATCATTTAAAAATCGGAAATTTAAGGATGTACACCCTTTAGGCCAAAAATCACGTTTTTTTCATTTTTCAGGCAAATCGTTGATTGGATTGACGCGAAATAATATACCGTTTTTGCGTTTTATCGACTGACTCACGAAGTTTCATGAGAGTGCAATCATTTTCCTGCATTTTTTCTAAAGTTTTGTGAATTTCCGAAAAGTCCACTTTTAAAAAATCCAGTGTAACGATTTTTGAAGCTTCTATTCCGCTTATCAAGTATAATATAATATGACGTCTATGTATATTTTTTTATATACTATACTCCTTTGTTTACAGTAATTGTAAAAAAAAAGAAATTCATTTGTTACTGTAATAAAAAAATATAGTTCTGTAAAACAATATATACAATAGTATATATGTATACATTATATAATAACAATATATTATAAATAGTATAGGATACATAATACATCCCCAAAAATAAAAAAGAACGCACAAAGCAAAAGGGAAACAAAGAAGAAGAGGATTATGACGATTGCGAATAAATTATTCAACAATTAAATTCGCATCAATTGTGAAAAACTTTGTCGAAACCGTTGATTTTTCCTGCATTATTATTGAGATAAAAATTAATGAAAGTGAGAAACCGTAAGGTTTTACTATTCTGGCACCCATGGAAAACAATACGTGCGCGACGCGCGTGCTGTTCTAGTTTTAGAAAAAACGGAGGAAAATGATTTCATGATCATGAAATTTCGTGAGTCATTAAGTAATAATAAAACTCAAAAACGGCATGTTTTTTCCCGTCAATCGGATCAACAATTTACCAGAAAAATTAAAAAAAACGTGAAATTTGGTGAAAAGGGTGTAATGCATCTTTAAATTTAAACGATTGCAAGCTTCTCTTCGCAATGAAAAATGCAAAAATACTGACTTGTCCAATGTGTTCTCGTTGATATCAGACTTCTCAAAGTGAATAATCTCCTCGAACGATGTGACATACAAATTGTTAACTACTCCGACACTGGGCATTCTCAGCAGATGCTCCGGCAGTAGATGAATCTCCTTCATGATATTCGCGAGCCTCACGGGCAGTTCCTTCCTCAGGAAGATGAAGGACTTCCTCTCGCAGGCGCTCATTCCTAAAATCACACCCCCCACTCATCATTCAGCTCCCACGAAAACAATGAAAACAAGTTTTTCATTTTTTTTGTTACGCTATTGTTCTTTTCGTATTGTCTCATACGAAAAGATTTCATAGCTAAACCTAGCGAGTTCGGTAGATACTTCTATTGGATTTCTATTAAACTTGTTTCTAGTTTTTGAGATTCTATTGAAAAAATCCAGAGCCTATTTGCGCATTTTTTTAAGTAGAAATATTTAACAGAAAAAAAATGGAATTCCATTTTTCTATACAACTTATTCCACTGAGATGTTTGCTATCGGAATTCCTCGGCTCAAATTTAGCAAGATTTTTGTTTAATTTTTTAAATGAAAAGAACAAACAAATGGCAAAAAATTATAAAATTCATGACGGTAAATTCTTAAAGAAAATGTCTCAATAGAAAAAGTATAGAAAGATTAAACTTTTCAAAAATTTTCGGATTTTTTCTATAAAATAGTTTCTAACGGACATTTTTTATAGAAAAACCGCGCATTAAAGTTGCGAAATTCATCGACAGAATCTTCGAAAAGCAAATAGCGGAGAGTCGGGCAAAACGAAACAGTCGAAAAACGACTGTTTGACGCAATTTCAGCAAAAAAAAAATTTTTTATTAACTTTTGCTTAATCTTAGGAGTACTGATGAAAATCCAGAGTAAAGACCCAGGAGGAAACCCGGAGGGAAAAAAAGGAAAATGTGATGCTGAATTTCGGGCGAATGAAAAAAGAACAGTGTAATCGGCCTAATCTAATCAATTGAATTACAAGACGAATAAAAAATTATCATTCTCGTCAGTACTCCCAATAATTAAAAAAGTTAAAAAACAAAAGGTGATAAGAAAGATTTGTTTTGCTTGAGATGCGTCAAATAGCCGTCTTTCGACTGTTTCATTTTGCCCCATTATCTTTTAACAATTTTCAGTAGAAGTTCAACAAAAATCCACAAGAATTTTCTATCCAATTCGTTAGGTTTTTCTCTGAAGTTTTTTCTTGTGTGCATTCTCTCCTTTTGTCCTCATTTTTCAAATACATGCTAATGCAAATCAAAATATCGAGGATAAGCTGAAATGCTTGATAAACTCCTTATCGGTTTATTTGCCGCGACTCAACGAATTCGAACAGACGGTGAATAAGAGATCCGCGAATATAGAATATCAAATATACAAGAAACTCCACACGCTCACAGCTGATTGCACACCATATTGCATCATCGCGCACGCATGCAGTGGATGGATGAGGCGTAATGAAGAGAAAGGGGGATATCAGTAATTTAGTAATAAAACGTACTCAATGCGCGGATGTCACTATTATCACGAGTGGAATGCATGAGAGCAATTTTCTATTTTTTTTTTAAGAAAAAAATCCGCGAGTCGCAATGTTTCTCCTTCCGTTTGTTTATTTCACATGTAGTCTTCATTATTTTATTAATTGGAAAAGCCGAGTGTTTACATATGGAGAACAATTTGTCGCCGTGCGCATCCGCTTTTTTATCTCTGTGTTAAAATCAGCAGGGGAAATCACGATAAGAAATTCCTATAAATAAATGATGTTTACGATGTCATTCACACTTTATTGCTCCAGACTTTACTTTGAAGTTTTTTTAGTGCAGTATTAGACTCCTGCATCTTCGGGTGAAGAAACTAAATTTTTAACAACGATCAATTCAAGTGAATTTTTAATTTTTTTTTGTTATGATATATAGACAATAATTTAGTTATAATCTCTTAAAATTTGATTCGGTTTAAGGGGAAACAATCATGGAATTTCGAATTTTACTGGTAATTCAGGGAAATTAAATTATTGAGAAATTAATGAGCAGCAGAAAGACGAGAATTTGTCAACTTATTTAAATTTTCAATTAAAACACGAATATTTAGTACAAAATTCCGCTGAGATTTCAATGAATTAAACATTTAAGAATATAGGTACCTAAATGTTGCGGATTTCTATGAATTTTTATGGAATGATTAAATTGAAATTTACAGTTTCCATTCGTTTTTCCTTGAAATTATGAATTTTCCATGATAAAAGTTTTTGAAATTTCAATGAAACTATCGGTGAAAAAATTGTACAACTCATGTTGTTACTGATAAGTCAATTCATTTCTGGAATATCCAATGAAATCGCAATTTTCTGATCCATATAACAATGACAACTATTAAATATAGTCGAAATTAATTATTGCTATTCTAAATTATCAATTCCCCAAAAATTTAATTGAATGTCGATTCAATTTTCATTGAAATATCATCGATCACCCGACGCTAAAACTTAATTTTGTTGAATTTCCAAGATGAACAAAAAATCCCAGAAAAGATTCTTTGTTCATGTAATGTTCCTCATTCTTATACCATAATTTCTCCTTGAAACTATGAATTTTTAACGACGAAATTTTTTGAAATTTCAGTGTAATTATAATTAATAACTTCCTTATATCGGGAAGCTGAAATTTTTTTTAAATTATCAAAAATCATAATTATATTTACAATGACCTAAAATAGTGAAAATTCAGGCAACTATTATTTTAAACTCTCAATCCCTCAAAAATTCAATTGAACCTCAATTCAACCTCCCCAATGACTTTGCAAATTCCAGTCACTACCGAAATAACAACGATCGCCCGACACCCACCCCAATCTCATTGAACCCTAACAAAGAAAAAAGCTCCCACGAACGACAGAATCCCAGACTAAATGAAAATTCGCAAACCCGAAAATTCAAACGCACCTGTTACTAAAATTTCAATAAATTCTAACAGCAAAGTATGTGCTTCAGGAACATACAACATTCCGCGGACGTTGCGAGTACAAAAAACTAGGCGATGACGTTCTCCTCAAGGTGAGACTGTTGGGATCAAGTGTGAAGTATTGACAGATTTTTTCACCGAGCAGCTGATTGAGGTGATACGACTGGTCACGAGATCAGTCTCAATGCTTCACTCCACGTTAACGATTAATGTTTACATATTCATTTGATGCGTTGGAGTTACGTTTCATGAACTCTGTTTATCATGAGTCAGGCCGGATGTCCTTGGTCCGAGAAGGTCAGAGGGCTTAACGAGTTCATTGAAAATACTCCCAACTTTTAATTTTTTATTCAGCTTTGTTTTTATTTATCAACGCGGGAGTACGCGGCATAACAATACAGTTGATTTGGAGGAGTCAGATTGCGTAATAGTCTAGGTCGAGGGCCAATCGGAGGCTCTTATCGGTGGGTGTGTCAACGAATCGCTGGTAATTCAGGGGAGACGAGCCTCTTGGACTTTGTCCGCTTGATTTTTTGTTTATCTGAAATCCAGATGTTTACGGCGGCTTACGTACGAAGGCAGCCTGATAAATCAGATATTTTCGAGCGTCGCTGACGCAGATGTTTTCGAGAATTCTAATGAATTTTTTATGACTCGGCGACAGATTTCCAACCGAAATTCAAAGGTTCTTTTTTGTTTGGGCGGTTGAGGGAATTTAATTGACGGCTGGGGGAACGATTTTCTGGGGACGAGAGCTGTTATTGTCGTATGCTAATCCGCCACGTTCAACTTCTCACTAGTACCGCGAGTAACGGGGCTATGTTTATCGTCATTTCGCTTGGGAACGATTAGAGGCTTTTACGAAATTGGAAATAAAAACAAATTCGGCAGTTATGGGTGAAAAAATGAACTTGGGGTCAGGGAGATGGCGAAAATTTGGTAATGTTTCTTTTAGAGGGCTTGTTTTTCGCCCGAAGAAATTCGTTATGAACGCAATTTTATCTATTTCGGGAAGGCCTGAAGAGGTGCATTGGTAGAAAATTCAAGTAAAAAAAATATTTAATTTATTTAAAAATTGGCGTTGTCAAATTTTGAACAGTGCTATATTTACATTAAATTTATCTCCATTTTGTTACTGAAAAATTGCGTAATTTCTTTGAATATTCAATTTAATCCAATTTCCCGATCCATGCGATCACGAAAACTATGAAAAATAGCGAAAATCCAGGTCATTATTTTGCTGAATCGTCAATCTATTGAAAATTTAATTGAATTTAATGCTTAATTGTCAGGATGAGGTTTAAAAATCAAGCTCCCCTTGAAATATCACTGATCGCTCACCATGAAAAAATTAATTCTATTCAATTTTCATGATAAATGGGAACTTTCATGCACGATCTGGTCTTAAATTGAATTAAACCCCACAACATTGAGCATTCAGTTGCAATCGTTACTGGAAATTAAACGAATTTCTGACAGTGTGGAGAGAAAAATTAGTCTGGGGATGACATTCACATGAGTTTTTTCTCATGAATCATTCATAATAGTTTGAGGGAGATAGCGCAATTTTTATCAGTGACGTTATTGTTGCTCGTATTTTCTTCTGCCAAGAAGGTCGTTATAAAAAAGTCGCGATATTTCCACGAACTTTTTTTGTTGATTTTTATGTTCTTTAGAAATACAGGTTTCGGAGGTATTTGTAGAAAATGAATCAATTCCGCATTTTGTTTAGTCTTTTGAGAATATAGAGAAGAATCACTCAGGAGATGATGTTTAGATTCGTTTTTTAATGAATACTTATCCACATTTTAGTTTGAGGGGAATAGCGAAATTTTTATGAATGACATTTTTGTTAGTCGTATTTTCTTCTATGAAAAAGGCCATTATGGAGATATGATAGACACATAGAATGAAAAAGTTACGATGTTTTCGGGAATTTTGTGAATTTTTATGTTCTCTACAAACACAGGTTTCGGATGAGGTATTCGTAGACAATTAATAAATTCTATATTTCGCTAAGTTTTGAAAATATGGAAACAAAAACCACTCTGAAGACGACATTTAGTGCATTTGTTAAAATTAATATTTCATTGTTTGAGGGGGACAGTGAAGTTTTTATGAGTGACATTTTTGTTGGTCGTGTTTTCTTCTGCGAAAAAGGCCATTATGGAGATATGAAAGACACACAGAATGAAAAAAATTTTATGTTCTGTACAGACACAGGTAGAAAATGAATAAATTCTACATTTCGTTTAGCTTCGAAATATGAATTTAAAAAGTCACTGTGCAAATGACGTTTGGATTTTTTTTCAAGAATGAATATTTCATTATTTGAGGGAAATCGTGAAATTTTTATGAATGATGTTTTTGTTCCTCGTATTTTTCTCTACGATAAAGGACATTACGAAGACATGAAAGACTTCCGCAATGAAAAAATTCATATGGAATTGAATTAATTTCACATTCAGAGGATGCTTCCATGAACAGTTTCTGTAAGAGTTTAATTTCTCTACAAAGAATGTTTAGAAAAAAAAGTCCCCGTCCTTCTTGGACTCACAGACATTCATCAAAAGTGGATAAATTCTACATTTCGTTCATTTTTCGACGAATGTCTGACGCTTTAAAGGGCTGACGACATTATCATTGACATTTCTGTAGGTCTTATGCTCCCCCACAAGGAATGTTTTTACAGAAATATCTCTATCTTGCTAAGGTCCAGAAATATCTATGGAAAACTCCTGCAATACGAGTAGATTTCATTTCTCAATGTGTTCCGGACAAACTTCTCATTGTTCGAAAGAGATGAAGACATTCTTAGGCACGGTTGCACCAAGTTCTGATATCCAGATAAACCCTAGCGTAAAATTTGTCCTCGGCATCAATAATATTTTTTATTTAGGGGAGGGTGGGGTAAAATGGACACTTTAGACGTTTTTTTAATTATTCATAACTCAGAAACAATTCATCAATTGAGTTCAGTTTAGGCTCGTCACAAAGGGAAAGAATTGTTCTTTGTATTGAAAAATAAATTATCAAATTTCATCAACATTTCAACCCCTCATTAACATTTAAACAAAAGTCAAAAGTGTCCGTTTTACCCCAACCTCCCCTATCCCGTAGCCCCATTTGAATTAACACTGATTTAACCTGGGGATTAAATATTATTTTTCGTTCCTCAGATAAATTTGAGATACTCTCCCGGGTAAAATAATCCATCGAACATCCAAATTTACTTCTTTTCTTATTTGGTGATTTCGTTACCTGGAGCTGGTGCAACCGGGCCATAAAGTGACATTTTAAATATTTCTTCTTCACAAAAAAGGTTTTTACGGAATTATCTGCACCGTACATTGATTCAAAGACATCTAGCAAAAGCCTACCACAAAAAAAAACAGTTCTCATGCGACACTTGCCAAGAGTTCCATATCGGTGTTCACATCAGAAATGTCAAATAAGTTATGAATGTTTTTTTTGCGTGTGGAGGACAGAAGAGGTCATCGAAGCATGGCACAGGTGATTGTAAGGATAATTTTACAACAAGGGGAGACCCCTCACACCACTGGACAATGTTATCTCAAGTCATATCACAACTCATCTAATCGTGATATTGGATGAATGCCACATTGCGATCACTTTTATGTGGATATCTGTTAATTAGGAGTTTCATTAAATGTTTCATTTTCATTAAAACATTTGTCGTCACTCGTTTTCTCACTTTCTCTACAGAAAGAGTTGTAAAATTTTGTAGATTCGCTCGCATTTTAAGACACCATAAAGTTCACATTGAGATCAGCTTTCAGTGGAACATCCAATTTGAAAAAAAACAACAAAATGTTTATTGAGAACTATTCTATGACTGTTTTTCCTTCTCAAAAAAAATCTCCATGAAACCCCCTTCATCTCCAATAGATTTAAAGATTTCCTATAAAAACTCAATTTGAAAAAAAATTAATTCTGCATTTCGATCTATTTCTGACCAATATCTCAGACCTCAAAGAAAACAAAGAAATAAAGAAAACAAAATTACCATACAGACGTAATTTGTAGCTCTCCAATCCCTCCAAAAAGTTCCCCACGAAAATTCCTCTCTTTATTTATTGGATGAATTTCAGTAAATAACAATTTCCTCTTTGTTTCTCCTCTACTTTACTTACCTCTCGTAAAACTTTGTTTATTCCCTCAACCTTCCAAGTCATTCATCGAAATCTCACCTCAAGAAACCGTCGAGTGAATTTCACTTGAGATCAGCTTTTAGTGAATAATAAATTTGAAATAAAAAAACAGCGAAATGCTCCATGAAATTTCCTCCATCTCCAATAGATTGGACGATGTCCAGCGAAAACTCACTTTGAAAATAACTCAATTCTGTATTTAAATCCATTCCTGGCCCATATCTCAGACCTCAAAGAATAAAAAAAAGCTTCCATAGAAATCAAATCCACAGTTCTCCAATCCCCGCAAAAAGTTCCTCTCTCTATTCATTGAATCAATATCAGTAAATAACACAATTTTCTCTTTGTTTTTCCTCTACTTTACTTAATTCACGTAAAACTTTATTTATTCCCTCAACGTTCCAAGTCATTTATCGAAATCTCACCTGAAGAAACCGTCGAGTGAATTTCACTTGAGATCAGCTTTTAGTGAATAATAAATTTGAAATAAAAAAACAGCGAAATGCTCCATGAAACTTCCTCCATTTCCAATAGATTGGACCATGTCCAGCGAAAACTCACTTTGAAAACTCACTCTTTCCCCCAAAAACCTTTGCAAAATTCTCATCTGGTTCACCCCCCCCCCTCGACCACCTCCATCCAGGTAAATCCCTGAATAATTCCAGACAAACGAGCCTTTCAGAATCGATCAGGTCCTGGAGGTCGCAACCTTGCGCCACATCACGTAGCCCAAGCCCATCTGTGGTAATTGACGTCGAGGCTATCCACCCTAATTTCCTTCAAACCAACTCAAATACTAAATTTCCTGGCAAATCTCCAGAGAACCCTGACCAACCCCGCGCGTCATCGAACCTCCCGAAATGCATCCACTCACTCAGCATAAATAACCCGTTCCATTCGGATTATTCACTCCACATCCGGCACAAACACTGATAAGACAATTCAACTCTTAACAATTCAACAATTCAAACAATTTACGCATCACGCGAGTCGCCTGAACCGAACAAAAGAAACCGTCCCAAGAGAATAATTAAATCGATCAGAAATTGACTGATGAGTAATTGATTAACAGACACGACCGAAAGTCATTTGTTGTCAAGAAGGAGAAAAACTCTTGAAAACTCACCAAAATCGATGAATTGTTTTATCGACAATGGCGAAGGGTTGAACTGCGAGTAGAAGTCCAGCATCTTGGTGATGTTTCCCAGACACCTGTGTGTGATCCTCATCTTCAAAGCAGTTAATCATCAGAGAACCTCGATGAAGCAAACTCTCCAGTCCCCCTGAACTGCAGTAGTCCTCCCCCTTTATCCACAGACAACGAGAACCCGACGAATAGCAGGTTACGAGTTCCCTAGAATCGGCAGTGTTTGTTGGAAGTGGTCACAGGAGATACTGCCGGTGGTGTCAACACTCCTCTCAGCTCCAACTTGGCTCCAAAACATAACTAAACGGAATGAAAAACGAGGGAGACAGCAGTAGAGAGAGGCCCGCTGGACTCAGACCGACGCAGAGGGCTGAGTAGAGATAACCACAGGGAACAACGGTGGTCAGACCACGCCATCTGTTACTACTGGGGAAATTCTCAAGTGGATACGGGACTATTACCGTGAGAGTCAGACCCGTTGTATCGAACTCAGTTAAGGGGAAACGGAACCGCTAGGTCTATATGGAGTTTTAAAATTGTTAGGGGAGGATGGGGCAAAACGGTCCCCCTTCAATCGTCAATATTTTCCGATTCAATAATCCGATTGGGATGAGTTAGAGCTCGTTTTGAAGAATGAAAAATTATCTTCAAAGTCAAGTTGAAACTGGGAATTTTCACAATGTCATTCACAAGTTATTGACAATTGAAGGGGGGCCGTTTTGCCGCACCCTCCCCTATTTCTCCTGCAATTATTATTTTTCATCACGCTGTGCGAAAAAGTAACTTTTTCGCCCAGCGAAGCGTCCCTTTTCCACACATTGTGATGAAAAATATCATTCGATACTCGTAGGAAATAGTATAGTTCGTCATTCGACCGAAAAAAACTTTTTTGGCGAATATGAGGTTTGCAGCACGAGCCGAAGGCGAGGGTAATTACTATTATTATTATTAAAAATAATAGTAATTAATAAGTAATTAATTACTATTATTAAAAATAATAGTAATTAATAATAATAATAATAATAATAATTGCATGATTGGAAATCACATTCTTGAAGTGAAACAATTCTTCTTAACAAATCAAATCACTACATTCTGGGCAAGCTTGCTGAAGCGCGTAAACAATTTACAATTTCCACTTAACAATCGTATCAGCGTGAAAGAAAATAGTTAAAAATTTTGAATTCCAATAGCTGATTAAAAAATCAGCAAAAATAGAAAAAATAATCATTCATTTCACGATCTATTGCAAATAATGAAAAAAATTTTTTTAATATCCAAATCGTAGTGTTTTTTGAATGACTTTTCTCTTGAAATCCGGGGCAAAATGGGTTAATATCAATCGCCCAAGAATTCTCAAATGTCACTCTCCAACCAAGAGATGGCGCCAGGGGTTCGAATAATTCCACAAAGTTGATTTGTCCTGATTCCTGGTCGGTTCTGTCCCCCACGCGCTCTCACCAGCTCAATGACAGTTCCTCGCCAGGCACCTTGCGTATCAAAATGGCTCGGTCTCCGTCTCAGTCCGGTCGTGTCTAACAGTGAATCAACCTCAAGTTTTTTAAAACTCACATTCCAGGGCTTTGAAAGGATCCTGAAATGATATCCTGGAGTGGATCGTGATTGCGAGCACCGGTGAGTCGAGATTTTCACTCCTTCGGGATTAATCAACCACTTGATTCAGCACTCCCTCGGGGGTTTGTTTGATACAGTGATAGTGGTATTGCCGAGCTCAACCCGATTTTTGTTATTATCAGAAACCGTATGGATACGCGGATCGTGACGTTGGATTATCGATGAGTTAGATAATAGGGAGTTGAGTTGTAGAGGTGCGGTGGAAAATAGGGCTCTCTATTTTTTCAAATTTCCTTTTACAGAATGATCGTTCGTCTATATAATAATTAATGGTGAGGTGGAATCACGGCATTTTGGCCGCAGTAACAACGACACTATCTCATCGTCAAAAATCGCAGAGATAATATAATATTCCGAATATTTCTTTTTTTTGTTCTTATATTTTGTTCTTGAGACGGGATAATTGCGGAGGGTAATTTCGTGATGGAGAAAGTCGCCCACGGGCAACATTCATCTAGCCCACGCCGATTGGCTCGACTATTTCGTTTGAAGGGACCCTGTTGGGTGAAAGACGCGGTTTTATAAGAACCCGCGACCTCGATAAGAGATTGCTCGCGGTGGATTATTTATTTCACAGCAGCTGGGGGCCCTGCTCTAGTGGGTTTATGTGCCCTCGTTCTTTTGGCTTGATCATGATGATAAAAACACGGGGTTGGAGGGGGCAGGGGAAGAGAAGCGGGGGGAGGAGCGAGGGCCGGCGGGCGCAGGCGCGGGGCGCGAGGGGGATGAATGGAATTCGCGGAGTGAAGGAAAGGAGAGAGATGAAAGAAAGTTGTTCATTCTACGGAAGTGGACTTGTCGGTACAGGTAGGGGGAGTTTTGAGGGGTCGGTGACCTTCAGGGAATGTGGAAAAATTGTCGGTAGAGTCGCAATTTTTGTTTTGTTGCGGGGCAGAACGGGCTCGGTGTGAAGTGGAAGCGGTTGGTGGAAGAGGCTTCGTGGAGAGCTTTATTTTTGGGGTATGGAAGCATTTGAGAGAAGTTAAGGAATTTTTTATCCATTGATACCGACGTGGGGTGTGGGGAACACCCCAGGTCTTTTTTCAATTCAGTAGTGAAGCGGTGAAGGGAGATGAGTCGACTCATCTCCCAGTTGAGTTTTTGAGCAATATTTCCGACTCTGAGGGACATGGCGGAATTTTTGTAATTACATTTGTTGTAGCACTCAATCGGCTCCACAAAAAAGGTTATAACAGTAATTTTGCTATCTTCCTTAGATTCCGAGATATTGCTTGAAAACTGGTCAATAGTCAAAATTGACTTATCTCCGTTTACCACTTCGTAACTGAATTATTTTTTTAGTGCTTCAGCGTTGATAAAAGGAAAATCCTTGGACGAATGTCATTGGTCAAATCTTTGAGCATTCAATTCCATTTTAAAAACATTAATACAATTGACAATTACCAATTGAGTAGCGAAGCGGTAAAACGGTTTAAGTTGACTTAGCTCTCATCTGAGTTTGTGAGGAATATCTACGAATTCAAGGGAGATGATGGAATTTTTGTAATGACCTTTTTTGCAGAGCGAGTTGAGTGCTATAGAAAAGGTTTTGTCAAAAATTTTGCCATCTCCCTTACATTCTGAGATATTTATTGAAAACTGGTAAATAGTCAAAATCGACTTAAACCGTTTTACCGCTTCGCTACTGAATTCCATTTAAAAACTTGGTAAAAGACTAGGTGAGTAAGGAAGGGTTGAAGAGGGAAGTGAGGTGTGTGGCAAGATTCTTGCCTCAATTGCAATTTGATAAATCAGTAATGAAATTAAATAAGACGGAGGAGTTAATGATTGTTCTCATCTCCATGATGTTAATCAGTTCAAGAAAGGTCAGGGGATAGTGGAGAAATAATTACGATGTTGATTAAATTGTCATAGTGCGACGTTTCGCTAAATTATTTTAGCTTCGTCAGGCTCTTGACGGCAATCTACGTCTAGTCAAACTATTTCTGTTGATATTAGTGAAGGAACACATAATGTGCAAATATGAGTAAACAAAAAGTCAGCAGATAGGGTCAACCAAACGCAAAGAGACTCCTTCAGATTCAGGGACATTTATCAATTTGATAAATCAGTAATGACGTGAAATAGGACGAAGAGGTTCACTTGAGAATTAGGGGCGAGTGGGGAAAAATTAGCACTTGTTATTGTTTTTAATTTAAATGATTCAGTGAATTTTTACCCGTTGAATCCTCCCCTTTGGTAATGACCTCAGACTGAGATCAATTGATAGATTCATTTCGGAGATATGAACCTTAAAAGAAAGTCAGAAATGTCCATTTTGTCCCACCCTCCGATATCCTTTGGGAAATGTCTCTAAATGCGAAGGAAACGGCAAAATTTTCACTGCAGACCTTTTTGAGGGAAAAAGTTAATATCTGCAAAAAACTCTGATGGAGAAAACATTCATTTTCATGCGCAATTGATTAGTAATCTTCAGGAGAATAACATTGAATTCGATTGAGAGGGGAAATATAAAATTTTAGATTTCACATAAAATTCAATGGAATTCCAAGTTCCTGAAGAGTAGATGAATGAGAATTTCCCAGCTTCATTGAATTTTCATCACACTATTACGCAACTCCTGAAATGTCAGCTTAGAATCCTCGAATTTTGAGCAACAACTAATTCAAATGGAATTTCTATTTGTTTATAATAGGGATATGTGCACAGCTCAGTAGTAATTTCCAAAAAAGTGATATTAGATTCAATTTACGGGAAAGAAAATCATGAAATTTCAGATTTTGTTGACAATTCAATGGAATTTTATGATTTTGAACAATAGAAAGGCGAGATCCCGCAACTTAGATGAATTCTCAATTAAAACTTGAATATTCAGTTCCAAATTACGTTGAATTTTCAATTAATTCAAGCTTCGAACAGCTATTTCTCTGACTTTTTCCGATTTCTAGTCATTTTCGAGGTATAATTGAAGTGAAATTTACAGTGTCCACTGATTTTTCCATAAAACTTCGAATTTCCTATGAAGTGTAGCGACAATTGCAATTAAAAATTTTTAACAGTGAAGATTTTTACAGAATATTTGCAGAATATCGGCATCAATCATTACTTTAGTAATATTATCAGAAGTTGCACTTTACAATAAGTAAGTTATTACTTATCTTCATTGCAATTTGAAAAATAACATAATAATTGGTATTTTAAATTTCTCAATTATTGGCTGATAAAATAATTCGGAATTTGAATATTTAAATTGAAGGTTCATTTAATAATCAAAAAAATTGGTGAGTAATATTACCAATTGACTCATTAAAAATTTAACTGTAATTAAATTTATAATTATGCCGATGCCTCGAAATATCTTGGAAATTCAAAGAACCACCAAAATTTTCGCAAAAATCATTGTCCTCAAGCAGACAAGAGCAATCTACAGAAAAATCCCTCAAATTAATTTTCACGTAAAACAAATTCACTGTTTCCGGAAATGAAAAAAAAATTTATAAACATTGTGTACTGCAAATTTCTGTTTATTTAATTAATTCGAGGTTGATTGTCTCAATTCCGCATGACAAAATTAATCGTTTGAAGACGTTGAGAAAATACTGAAGTGGTTTATTTAATTAATTAACACGAAGCAGGAACTCATTCTCTTGTTCTTGATTTTGCAATTTTTTTTTCTTTCCTCAGTCTGATCATTTCCCGCGCGTTTCTACTGCCCCATGTGTCGACATATGTATACAAAACTGCGGCCCCACGTGACGCGTCTTAATTATCTGCACGAGAGTGCTATACACGCGATAAATACAACAGACTGTGGTTATCAAATCGACTGTTATGACTGGTGGAGAGGAAGTTTATCTTTTAGATCTCCAATATTTGGGAACGCTGCGATTTTCATAAATTCCGAGTGAAGACGATCCGTTTTGCCGTGATCTCCCTTGTGTTGATCGCAGCCTTAAATAGAACCCACGATTTTTAGGGGATTTAGGCTCTGTGGCGCAACGGATAACGCGTCTGACTACGGATCAGAAGATTCCAGGTTCGAATCCTGGCAGAGTCGAAATTTGTTTTTGAATTTTGGCAATTTTTTCGGTAAATGGGTAAAATTCTGTAGCGAAATGGTAAACCGGGTCAAGTCGATTTTGACTATTGAGCAGTTTTTACCGAATATCTCGGAATCTAAAAGAGGTAGAAAAATTTTTATCATGAACTTTTTTGTAGGGCCAATTGAGGGTTATAGAAAAGGTCATGAGAAAAATTTTGCTAATTGTCTAAGATTCCGAGATATTCATCAAAAACTGGCCAAAAGTCAAAATCAACTTGACCTGGTTTACCAGTTCGTTACTGAATTGAATTGAAAATACCAAAATAGGTAGACCAATAGATAGTCAAGACCAATTTGAGATTCGTCGAGATATGGAAAATAGATAATTCACGTAAATCAGCCAATGATGGATTCTATACCTAATATAATATACAAAAATTGCAGTTTTTGAATGATTTCATCAATCTTCTTCTAAAAGTAAACGTTCTCATGTTTTTCTAACGAAATAAGTCAATTTGAGATATGTTCTAATTCACAATAGACAGCTACGTTTTCCAGAAACCATTTTCTGCAACAAAATTGAGACCTAATAAAAAAAGTGGAAAAATACAAAATTTCCTCATTTCCATTATTAAGAGATTAAGAATATTCATTACAGACTTATTTATTCCATAATTAGATTACCTATACGAGCATTTTCTATGAAACTATTCATAGAAAATGCTGGTAATTTTCAAAAATTACCATTTTATAATTATTTCAACAATCTTTATCGAGAGGTAAACTTTCTAATTTTTTCAGATTTCAAAAATGTTTTCTAACGGTTCAATAATGAGATTCAAATTCAGACCGACAAGGTTTAAATAATAAAATCATTGTAAGATATCCAGAAACGTGGGCTCAAATGAGGTTTAAATGAAAGCTCTGAGGTTCGACTGCAAAAGCAGAAACGCATTTCACTGGAGGAAAAATACCCAAAGGACTTGGAATTATTTAAAGTAAAAAAAATGACAAAGTTCAACACAGAGAGAAATATTCAAAATTCTGCGGAATTGTCACGGAATTTTTCCAGAGCGTACCGTAATTTTTACCTGAATCTCCTGTGAAAAATTACGATACCGTCCGTAATTTTTACTGAACATTTCTCTCCGTTAAGTTAAAAATGACCGAAGCATTTGAAGATTCTCAACCGAGTTAAACAGTGGACATGTATAATTCACCGAGCACGAAGGTTACTGCGTCACTGTCCCCTTGGCCATCCCCACGCTCATTAATTAGTTGATTAAAAAGAATCCTCTTTACACCACTCGTTTTGGTTTGACGGTCAAACTGAACTGGACAAGGCAGAAAATTACATTGGCGTCACGTTTTACGCACCCACCGATCTGGGACACGGGGACGAGTAGCGGAAGCACGGCCAGCTAACCAGGGCTCTCTTATCCTTTAGTAAAAAATCCAATGTAACGTTTTTTGAAGCCAATCTATTCGGCGTATTGTGTCATTAGGCTTTTTAGAAATGATGATAGTATAAATTAAAGATATTACGATAATACTTTATTATATTATATTATTCTATACTATACTATATTCTAATGCATTGTACAATGTATTATATATACAAGATCTGTGCGCGCGCTCTCGCGCGCGCTGATCCATTCATTTGTTGAAATGAAGAAATGGAATTCATTGAATTTCAGTTTCTCATGAATACCTTACAAATATTGATAATGAATCAAAGAGAATTCGACTAATGATTGAAGTGAATAGCGAAGTAGAGTAAAAGAATCTATAAAGAATTTTTCATTTTCAATTAATTATCTTCAATTTTTTAAAATAATCGGTCTCCATAACAGGACAGAATTTATTAATTTCACCGATGACGTGAAAAAAAAATTTACCACTGAAGAATTTGAAAATGCCGCGTGTTTTTTTTGTGAATAACTTCGTGTCACATATTGACCAATCAGAATTAAGGATTAGCGGTCAGGCAGTTTCGAGATATTTCGATATAAAACAAATTCCCGTTTCTTTCATCTTTACTAAATAGGATAATACATATAGTACTCTATTATATATTGTATATTATACAGAGTATATATAATATAGTATAGTATTATCGTAATATCTTTAATGTATGCTATCATCGTCCATAGAAAATCTGATGACACAATACGCCGAATAGATTGGCTTCAAAAAAAGTCACACTGTATTATATAAAAAAAAATAGAATCCATTCCTGAAACTTTTCCTTCGGAAACTTTGATATTAACGTCAGAAATATAATATAAGATTATTATTTATTTATTTATTTATTTATTTATTTATTTATTGAGCTTTAGGACTATGTCCTGGGTAACAATCACCCCCTAAGGAAAATCCAAATGTGTTGCATAAATTGATTAGCCTACAAGGAATTACAGAGTATAACGTAACTCCAGGAATTAATCGAGATTATCAAATTTGATTATGAAACATTATAATAGGAAGAGAAAAGTAAAAGAAAGATGAGCCACTTCAATTATCGATGAGTTTTGCTCAGAAAGAGCTTACAAGATGTTGGGATCAAATTAAATCGTTACATTTCTCAAGAGACAATTAAATCATTATTATAAAAGTATAATACGTCACTAGTATTATTCACTACAATTGACATACATTAAACCCCATAGGACATACACCGGACTAATCTAGTGGGAATAAAAAAAAACATCGAGAAAAATTGTTGAAACAATTTCACAGACACATGACCGATGAGACAATGGGCACGTCGAGGCAGATCGATTTCGTGACAGCGGGCAACTCCTGGGCTTCATTCATTATTCTCGGCGCGGGTTAGAAAGCAGAGAAAACACTGGGTTAGTTGAAACGGTATTCGTACGCGGTTTTTTGTTTATGTTTTTCTCACGGTTCGTTTCACTTGCGCCGCTTGGAAAAAAATGATCCATGGAAATTCCCGGGAGAACAGTACTTATTTGGGGTGGCAATGAAAGTTATTTGAAAAGCGCAAGTCTTGGGTAATTGTCCAATCTCACGGAATGAATTCATTTATTGTTCAGGAGTTTATTCGGGATTTAAAGGGATCTAGGGATTTAAGTGCTTGGGACATTGTTTTTTCGGTGGAATTCTTTCATTTTATAGGTTTCTGGACATTCACTGTTGGAATTTTTTTGACGTTTCGTGGAAGATATAGTAAATCTCATGAGAGTGACTTTGAATCGAGTTTAGGAAAATGGTTATGAAATTTCAAGGTTTAAGTAGTATTCACGGAAATTCACGAGTTTTCAGTGGGAGTGAGATGGAAATTTCGCAACTTGATTGAATTTTCAGTGGAACATGAATATTCAGAAACAAAGTGATATGAATTTTCAATTTCTCCCTGAATTTTCCTGATTTTTCTGAATTTTTACAGAATAATTGAACTGAATAATCAAGTATTTTATTGATTTCCAGATCAGTTGAACAGAAAATCAATGGTATATTTGATTTTTCAATGACAAGATTTTCTGAAATTTCAGAAATTTTCCAGAATTTACCACGGAAAATTCAGATGAAAATTTTTAACAGTGTTTTGCAATTATTTCATTTCTTGGGAATTTTGGAGGTTTTAATTTGATTCTCAATTTTTAATCAGGAGGAAAAATTTTGAAAATCTGAAAAAATTTGAGGAAGATTGGCAAAATAAGTTTATAGAATTGTGGTTTTTAAACATAAACAAATTTTTTCATGGATGATTAAAAAAATCATTTGTGCGAAATCGCAAAATCATTCAAAATTTCACAGAATGTTACTTTCAAGCAAAAAAACAAGAATTTCGAAAATGTGCACGATTTCAATTATTCATTTATGAGAACGGAATGTCTTGGGTAATTACGCAATCTCACGGAGTGAATTAATTTTTGTTCACGAGTTTATTCTGCATTTAAAAAGATCTAAGTGCTTTGACCATTGTTTTTTCGTTGGAATTCTTTCATCATTTTATATGTTCCTAAACATTATTCAATTATTTTATTATTTGGGAATTTTTGAGGTTTTAATTCCATTCTCAATTTTTAATCGGCAGGAAATGTTTTGAAAATTTGAAAAAATTGTAAAGATTGGTAAAATAATCTTATAAAATTGTGATTTTTAAACATAAACAAATTTTTACATGCATGTTTCAAAATATCATTTGTAAATAAGGATTTCGGAAATGTCTACGATTTCAATTATTCATTTATAAGAATTGAATCTCTTGGGCAATTACGCAGTCTCACGGAATGAATTCGAAAAATCAAATTCTATTCACTTTTCAAAATAAAATAATTTCCACCGAATATTTCTACTCGAAAAAATCGCGCGTCAGCTGAGCTGCGTAATTTCTCAATAGAATCGACCAGAAATCGATATAAAGTTCTCTCTAGTTTTAATTCCATTCTCAATTCTTAATTCGTAAGAAATGTTTTGAAAATCTGAAAAAATTGGAAAGATTGGTAAAATAATCTTATAAAATTGTGATTTTTAAACATAAACAAATTTTTACATGCATGTTTCAAAAAATCATTTGTAAATAAGGATTTCGGAAATGTCTACGATTTCAATTATTCATTTATAAGAATTGAATCTCTTGGGCAATTACGCATCTCACGGAATGAATTCGAAAAATCAAATTCTATTCACTCTTCAAAATCAAATAATTTCCATCGAATATTTCTACTCGAAAAAATCGCGCGTCAGCTGAGCTGCGTAATTTTTCAATAGAATCGGCCAGAAATCGATATAAAGTTCTCTCTGGAATCCGTTAGGTTTTTCTCTGAAATGTTCTCATACGTGTCTCCTTTAATCCCATTCAATTCATGTGCAATTCATGCGGAGGCGATGCTAAATTAATTCTCAAAGTGCTCCAATTGAGCCCACACCTCCAATAGGTCTGAATTTAATGAGAAAAAACCCTTAAAACCCAGACTACGCCGTACTTGGATATTTTTATCCCACGGAAGAGGAGCGGCACGAACAAGCTGACGCACCTCTCCCGAGTGTTCCTCTCCCGTACCTAAGCACCTACACACCGACAAAATTACTACAAACGTGTATAATACTGGACTACCAATGCGAGATGACACCGCTCGCTCGCGACACGCGAAAGGTGGTAAAGGAGTCCTTGGGCCGCTAGTTGTGACGGCTAAGCCACACTATTCGGTTCGTTAAGCCATGTTCTCCAGCCGAGCAATTCAGGAGTCTCTAATCCGCTTTAATTAACGAATACCAGGAGAAACTCGCCTGGCTTTTCCGTTGATAATTATCCGTCTGTTATTTACGGTTTCAGATTGAATTCTAGGCGGATGTCGCGATGACACTGCACTGGTGGATGCACTGGTTCTGGGTGACCGCACAATTTGCTGGTGAGTAAGAAAATTCTTTTAATTTTCCTTGCAATTCCGAAGTGGCGGATAAAAATTCAGTGGCGAAGCGATAAAACTAGATAAGTCAAGTATATGATGGAATTAATGCTCTTGATGAATATCTCTGAATGCATAAGAGAGTGAGAAATATTGGAGGAGTATTTTACCTAACGAGTTGGTAAATGACACTTGACACACGCCAGCCTGTAAACTGGCACTTTGCGCCGAGCGTTTGAAAATTCGCGCACGAAAAGATTTCACAGAAAAACGTACCGATTTCGTAGGATAATGAATTCGTATTTAGAAAATTCTATCGGATTTCTATTGACCTTTCTATTAGTTTTTGGCCGATTCTATTGACATGTTCAATAGAAACTAGGCAATAGAATTCGATTTTTCTATATAACTTATTCTCATCAGACATTTTCTGTAGAATTTCCTCGACTCAAATTTTCCAAGTTTTTTGTTTGACTTTCTCGATGAGAAAAAATGAAAAATAGAATGAAAAAAGCTTGGAACGCACATCTAGAGTCGCCAGACAAATAGTATCAGTCACTCGCTAATAGCATTCAATTAAATCATTCTCAATTAGAGCATTTTCTTTTTCTCTGTGATTTCACAAAGTCGTGTGCTCTATCAATTATATCAGACAGGGGAGAGTAATCATAAAATTTTCTGTCTTTCCTAAACGAAAACAGATCTTAATATGAAATTCACTCATCTTCATGATCAGTCCTTCAGACCTATCGATGAATATTTTTTCTCTCCATCATATAAAAATCCAAATTGACTTCTGGTGATGAACATTTGGTACTCGAAATTAAGACTGCAAAATTAAGAGTCACAAGGGTCAAAATGAGGGCCGTGAGGATGAAAATGAGGATCACGAGGGTCAGAATATCGGTCATGTGGGTCAAAATAAGGTTCATGAGGGTCAGAATAAGGCTCACGAGGGCCTGAATAAGGGTCAGTTTAAGGGTCACAAAGCTCAAATTAAGGGTCACGAGGGTTAGATTAAGGGTCATAAGAGTCAGATTAGGACAAGGTTCATGAGGGTCAGAATAAGGGCCACGAGGGCCTAAACAAGGCTCGTCTGGATCAAAATGAGGATCACGAGGGTCAGAATATCGGTCACGTGGGTCAAAATAAGGTTCATGAGGGTCAGAATAGGGATCACGAGGGCCTGAATAAGGGTCAGTTAAAGGGTCATGAGGGTCATATTAAGAGTCACAAGGCTCAGATTAAGGGTCACGAGGGTTAGATTAAGAGTCACAAAAGTGAGATTAAGGGTCATATGGGTCAGATTAAGGGTCTGAATAAAGGTGATAAGGGTCCCATTAAGGGTCCAACTAAGGATTATGTGGGTCCGAAGCTAAGGGTCACAAGGGTCAGGACCATGGAGGCTATGTGAGGGTAATTTGTGGGTCATATGGGGTCATGCGGAAGCGGAGCGGTTTCAACTCTCATTTTTTATGACAAAGTCATAAAAATTCTACAGTTTAGAGTATTTTTTACAGTTCTCGTAAAAGACATTTTGTTATTATTATAACGACTAATTTCCCGAAATCAGTCATCCTTGGCGTTCCTCTTCCATCAACAACCGAAGATCCTCACCTCGAGCGGGACTCGAGCCTGTCATGGAGGGCAATAACAGTGCGAATGACCTCAGAACCACCGATCCGATCAAGCATGAGGATTGCCAAGGCGATAAGTTCCTACGAGCCGTCCATTAAAGTCAACTCCGTGGGCCTGGCTGGTCCAGTGGTCCGCCGGCAGTCTTTCAATGCTTCCAAGCTCCTTAAAAAAATCCAGATGGTGCCTGTGTCACCACTACCCATTAGCACCCACTTCCCCATCCCCGAGGTCCAGCGCCCCAGCTTCAACCTCGTGAGGAATCTCCAGCAGGATTTTGGAGAGGGCAGTTTTCGGGGGAACGAGGAGATATTCCAGAAGAGAAAGGATCAGAGCTGGGTAGCTATTGTTTGAATTAATAATTGAAACATACGTGACTCACTGAACGAGAATGAAACCTTCTAACAATTTGCGATGTATAGAAAATGACATAAAATGATGATATTAGAATATTGTTCTTTTGGATTCGATATTTCGCATAGAAATTCATTTGAGCAATTCAAATTGAATGATTATGGCCCGAGTGGATTATCTTTCGAACGTGATCTTGGTTGTTTTTTTATTTTGATAATCTGAAATGATCTCCAATTGCTATTCAGTTTTACATAGTCCTGGAGTCTCCAAAAATTATGATTGTATAATCAAAAAAATGTTGAAAAAAAAAGTGAACATTTTCAAAGAGCGTCTTTGAATAATATTGGGAAATAAAATTAATAATTTGATGTATTTAATGGCTGTTAGGTCATCATTTGTCACAGTAGTCAATGGCTGTCAAATGGTTAGTTACCATGATAAATTATCCATTCACTATTTCCTCTCTATCGGACTTATTTCTTAATCTTTATTAAAAAGCTTTTTGAAAATGTTCAGTTTTTCCTACTTTTTTTGATTGTACAATCATAATTTTTAGGGACTCCTGCGTGATATCAAATCCAATGGAAATTGTGATATATTTTAAATTATAAAGATGGATAAACAATCGAAATAACATTCGAAATACATAATACAAGCCATTTAATTAAGAATGAGTGTTTTGTGTTTATTAAAAGTTTTTCGGGCGAAATAAATAATAAAAAGAAATATAAAAAGGAGTGACACGTCCGCGGACTAGGAACGTAGATAAAAGAATAACGAGAAAGAAAGAGACAATCGTAGATGATCATAAGAAATAGAGAATAAATTAAATAAAGCATCGGATTTATTTATTTAATTAATACAGGTGAAGTTGAATGCATCTGTTCTGGGTTATGAATAACATCAGATCAAGAGAGTAACAAAAATAAAACAAACACTCGTTTATTTCATCAAGAGGGAAGAGCATTGATAAATTAAACATTCGATTCCGTTACACTACTTTCCTTCTCACAAAAGTTGCCGCCCCGGCATCTCCTACAAGGTCAACTGACGATTCTAAAACCCGGACGAAAAATAGCAAAATTTTGGAAGAGCTTAAATTTAATCAATTCTCCAAATTGTGAACCGCATCTCCATGTTACAACAATCAAATCGTCCTTTCCAACAATGGACAACTCCTTTTCTCGACTTACATATTCATATATTCATCTTTACTTACTTTAGGACTCCTTCCGTTCATTCTTCTTCATTCAAAACAACAACATCTCGCAATTTTAAACATTCTCGTAGAAACCGATAAAAAGGCGTGTAGTGAAAAAACCACTTCTACTATTTGACAAAAATCCCGTTGATTGCATGTGTTAGCTTACTGACTTTCTACACCGGGCACTCCTCCTATTCCATATTCATTTTTAAACAGAAAAAGAGATAGGCAATACATTCTCGCTGTCCTCTTTCAAAGAGCGAACGAACAAATATTTATTTCATTCTCAGTTTTGGAAACAAAAAGTAAACTCAAAATTCCTGTTCGTCTCCTAGGAGATATTACCCAGTCCTGTGAAGGATACAAGACTCACGTGGCTGCTGACGACACTGCGGCCTGTGCGAAGGAGAACCGAGGAGGTAGACGAGGAGGAAATTGAGGAAAAATTCAGCAATCTGAGTACAGTTGAGGAGCGGGATCTAACGGTTCTGCCACTTAGACTCGAGGAGACTCGTTTCAAACTGGTGGTCAACAGAAGTCGGACTATAAACGGAGATACGGACACGGTGTCGTTCAGCAGTCGAACGTTTAATGGCTCCGAGGATATTGAGATTGATCAGGAGTTGGCGGAACCGAGGATAGCCTCGGCGACTGCATCACCGGTTGTGCACCCTGGTTTGGGGGAGTCTACGAGGTTGAGTAGGGCCAGGAGTGCGTTCACTAATGACTTCCAGAGGGACCGGGCGCAGGACAGATCTTCCCAGGATGACGACGACGATGTGATGGATGGAAATGGCATTTCTGCGGGGGTCACTGCTGAGAGTGCTACCACCTCCCTGGTGGACATTGCTGCTATCACAGGGAGCTGTCTCGCTATGATTGTTCTGTTGAGCACCATGGGGAGCATCGGGTTCGTTATGTACAGGAAAAAGTACTTGAACCCTCCGCAGACGTTGAACAGTGACAAGTGCAGCAATCCTGACAGCTCTGGGTATATCGATGACTCTACCATTCGGGTAAGTGATCTTTACGAGTTGGCATTGTCATTTTTCGTTTCATTTTCATTCATTCATTAAGGCGTCAGCGTTTACCAATGATGGGATTTATGACGTACAGCATTCGTCATGAAATTAGAAAAATAAATCGGCAATCGTACCAAGTTTTGTGAATGTTCCCGTTTTTGCCTCAACAACTCCTATGTAAACCAATTTTAAATTATTTCTTTAATTTCCTTTAGCGACGTCATTTTTCAAGCTATCGAGGTCATTTTGGGTGTAAAATGGACGAAATGTTATCAATTTTATCAGAGTATACATAATTCCACATCGCCAAGGTGGGCCCTTCTTTGGTGGACGTACACATATTACTGTATTACAGTATAATACAATTTTTATTGATTTATCAGGTGCCTCATTATCTACATTATTACGTGGATAGTTATCAACACCAAAACTGCATCACGGAGACTTTCAGATTTAAACAAAAAATAAGTATCCGCGGGGCAGCCTTCAGGCAGTGGTTTCAGGGTCCTATCTTTCCTTTCACTTCTTAATTAATGGGGAATGATTCATTCGTCTTTATGCTTTCGGCTCAATTTTCAACGCATGAACAGATAAATGATCTTCTTTATCACATTGATTTTCACACTTTTTTTCTTCGGCTACAAATTCTATAAACCCATTTTCATAATTCAATATTATTAAACGGAAAATGCGTGATAATGTTAATAAAAAGTGCACAATCATTCGGTAGAGAATATCAGAACATTTTAAAAAACAGATTTAGAGATTAGAAGGAAATTTTTGGTTTCAATTCTTGTAACTTAATTTCAATCAATTGTTGTTTTTCTGTAGGACAATTCGGAGGAAATGTACAGCCTGGACAACGACTCTTTCCTTAACTCTCTCGAGGCGATGACAATACAAAATTACTGGACAGACAGTGTGAAGCACACGAAGCTGTGACGCCAACAATAAAAGTGAGCTGAGAATTGCATATCTGGGAGAAATTGAGTCTAAATTTTTGCGAGGAATTTCCAAAATTAAAAAACAAATTATCTCAAAAGAGTAATACTAATTTTTGGCTCTTTAATGAAACGCTAGTATTAGCCGAATAGTGCAATAAATTTTCGTGTACTTAAATATGGTAGGTGAAACAATAAGGAAAGTGTTTTTTTTTCATTGTGTGTGGAGAGGAAAGTGGAAATGATGTAGTTTAAGTACAAATAAGACTTTTAGAAACGACGTAGAAATTTTTCTTGATGAAAAAATAATTGAGAGGAATGAAATTGTAAACATTGTGTACATAACGAGCCATTTGTGGTTTCAATTATTCTTTAAAATACGGTGGCACTGCGTTTTCCATTCCACCTTGTAATTCGTTTGCTTTGTTATTATTTTATCGAATGAATTTCGCCTAATAGTTTTTAATAATTTTCAAACCAATTTGTTACATTCGTTCATTTGTGAGTTGATAATTACTAACGAAAGATCGGACCAAGACGTACGTAGTTGATAGTCAATTTGCCTTTATAACATATCCACTAACCGACTAATTGATTCCATGTTTACTCTTGATCCGTGTCAGCAATTGAAAATACGTATGAAAGAAATTTGAAGAAAATAATGAACATTCAATGCACTGTTTAATTTTAAATGATCCTAGGATTATTTAAGAATTATATTTATATACGAATTTTTCCCCCAATTTCAAGAATAATGAATAAATGATATATATTACATTAACAATTTTCGGTGATGTGATAGAAGTAGTCGTTGGGATTTACCTTTTATTATCACGGTTGTGAATAAATACACGCATTTAAACATGACAATTTTTTAGGTTTTCATTTTATTAGCTTCATCCTATACATTTTCATTCACATGATTTTTATAGTAATTGCAGCGAAGACGAAATGCTAAGGATTACATTTGAAAAACGTCAAGAGAAGATTTTTGTGGTTGAAAACATTTTTTGTTATATTCAAAAATATTCTATTAAACTTATCTGACAAACATGACGCAATGCCCAGTTTAGCCCCTGACGTGCACACTTATGTTTTCACCTCCCTATTTGTGCGGAACTGGCTTCATTCGAGCCACATTTTCTTCAAAATCACCGACCGCAGTCTTCCACTTTTCGTACTTCCTCTGCACGGAGCAATCCTCAGGTTCAAGCTCTAAATATTTCTCGAACAATTCCTTACAGCTGTTCAACTCCACGAGCTGAACATGCCTCGGAATCCCAGGTCTATGAATTCTCTCCTTCGGACAAACTTTAAGGGCCTTCCTCAGGAAATCCCTCGCTAATTCCAGATTCCCCTGCCCAATCTCCAGCTGCACATACACCAGCCAGAGTTCACAAAACGTGAATTGAGGATGGGGGATGGAATCTAGACCATTTTTGTAGATTTCCCTGCAAGACTCAATGTCACCGGCTTCCTCCTCAGACCGAGCGTACTTGATCCCCAACTGTACGTAATCCACCCAGTAACGCTTAAACCGCTGCAATGGTTCCTTGGAAAGGCCCATCTGGTATATTTCTTTGATGTCTTCATAGCTGTACAAATCCTCAAACTTCAGGAGATCAATGTACCTGATCCAAAGATGGTACTCTCGGGGGGAATAATAAATTGTCCACGCATAGTCGAACTTGATTCTCCAGAAGGCAGCGTCTTCGACCTCAGAACGATCTCGAGGTTTTGCGAAGGGTGTCTGAAAGGCTGTATAGTTCGTATAAATACGAACGAACTCAGCCTGTCTCTTGTAAAATTTATCGGTGGCGTCTGACAGTATCCGGGGAATCCCCCGATCCCGGTAGTATTGTGCTGCCCTCCTCAAGATTGATCGCGCGGAATATGTGAAGCCGAGGGATTCGTAAAACTCAGAGTACTTTATCCACTTTTCAGGTGAAGGGTAAGTCTGGACGAAGTCATCGTAGATCGGGGCCAATCTCTCCTGGAGGATCATCGCTTTGTCGGTTTGATATTCGTAGTAGACGCTTAGGTTGTACGGACTGGCCATTTTTTGCTTCGGGGCCGGCGGGAAAGCGATGAATTCTGGGGCTTTCAAATCTTCGAGGATAAGAGGTTCTGATGGGGCTGCCGGAATTGCTGGTGCTTTGTGATTTATCTGATGAGAATGGAAAGAATATGTGGAGCATTTATTTAAGATTTTTGTGAATCCCCGAGACTTTTGTCAAGCCTTTTTAATTAAGGGGAGATTCTACTGAATTTGAAAAGTTCTTCAATTGGATAATGACATTCATCAAAAATTTTCTACCAGTGTATTTCAAAAAGGTCAACTTATCCACCGGTGCCCATCCAATGTGGCTGGAATATTCAAAAAACGCAAAAAAACGATTTTGAGCTTCAAAAATTCATAAGGTAAAATCCAGCGGACAAATCATGTTAAAATTGGCGTGAAAATGTTCCGAATAACCGTACGCACAAAGATAAGGATGCTTATAGATAAGGATGATGGGATTATTCCTTAATTTAATATACACGAGAATGAAAAAAATCGAAAAATGTCGAAAATTGAAAAGGCCTGTTCTGATTAATATGCAGGAAGACATGATTGATGGAGACAGTTTTCGACAAATATTCTTAAACATGAAGTGAAACATGAAGAAAACAAAAAACGCAAAAAAAACGATTTCTAGCTTTAAAAATTCATAAGGTAAAATCCAGCGGACCAATCATATTGAAATTGGCGTGAAAATGTTCCGAATAACCATAGGCACAAAGATAAGGATGCTTATAGATACGGATGGTGGGATTATTCCTTAATTTAATATACACGGGAATGAAAAAAATCGAAAAATGTGGAAAATTGAAAAGGCCCATTCTGATGAACATGAAGGAGGACATGACTGATGAAGACAGTTTTCCACAAATATTATTTAACATCGAGTCATATTTGAGAGCGATATTTTTAGCACAACTTGTGCTGTAGACTTCATGATGTTCGCAACAAGCATATTCAACGAAATTGATGAATCGGGTAATCAATTGTTTCCCTCTTAGTTTGAATAGTTGAGAAAAAAATTATGTACCTCTTGCGCCTGACGTATTTCCTGTGAATCCTCCATTCTACTTCTCTTATTTTACGTTAATCACAATATGATTCCTTCAGAATTATTTTTACGATTCGAATAGAAGTCTTTGCTGAGTCGCTTGACAAGATGTTAACAGTTGAACTTTCGAAGTGCCTATGAGGAAGTTAGGGGATTGTTCGAATTTATATTATCAAGAGGTTGACGCTAGTAACAATAAGGTGCGGATGGAAGACATAATGGGAGCTGGTGATTGGTCACCTGAGGTCGACCATCAGCACTCTAGTTTGAGGTAGGTGTCCATAATTGTAATTCCAAACAGGAAAATTTTAATTTCCATGTCAAAAGAGATCACCCGTGGCAAGTGCCAGGTATGGGGATTAGCACTTGGCCCATTGATGAACAGCGGTGGTCAGAACTTGTGGAGTCAAAGGTACAGCCCTCGTCCTCCCCTGCCTCGGCATCTAGACGCCCGCAGCAGGAGGTGGCAGACATTCGGTTATGATGACAGACTACTCCTCTAGTCTGACGATCGAACTTTCTTGAGACTAGGGTGACCAGACCAATTGCTGGACGGTTAAAGGAAATTCGAGTGTCGTGGTAGGATCTAAAATAAAAGAATCACCTAAATGGGGATATGATGGCTTCCATACCGTCAAGAATGTTTTAATTAGCAGGAAAAAATAGTTTAAAGTGAAAATAACAAAATAAAGAATAATTAAATTGAGAAATAGTTGAATGTAGCCGAAATCCCCATTTTCTGGACGACTGGGTCATTTTTTTTTATTTATTAAATGTTGATCGGTAGAAGAAAATAATTGATCACATGATTATACACAACTGATATTATGGAGAGGTGAAATAATCAGCTATGATACCCCAAGACCTTCAAAATTATCGGATATTTCCCGAATGTTTTGTTGCATAGCAACGAGAGAGATCAGTTTTGCAGATTAAAATCCCGAGCGCGTAGCGCGAGGGATTTTACTGCAAAGCTGATCCCGATCGTTGATATGCAGGAAAACCTGACTGCAAACGTTGACTGCAGGAAAACTTCCCTGCAGTCGGGGAAATTATCAGTGTAAAACGCGTCACGTGACTCCGAATACTGCACTCTGATTGGTCAAAATCAGAATTGAGGAAATTGTCAATACAATACAGGAACTAACCCCCGTCCAGAAATTGACCTGTTTACCCTATGCGGTTACTAATTTGTCGGAGAAAAGGGTGCAGAAGGAAAGGGAATTATGACTATTGTCAAAGGGAAAGAGTGATGACGTACACTCAGAGAAAAAATTTGTTCTGCCGAAAAATTATGTTCCCCTGAAGAGATGTTTTGTCGTATTGAATCAATTTACTTGTGGACAAAAAAGAAAGTTTCCACGAAAACAGGATAATTTTCGTAGTAGAAGGGGAGGATCGGACAAAAAGGGACGTGTTCAGATCTTTTTCAATTGTCAATATCTTCATTTATTAGTTATAAATAAAAAACAGTCATAGCTTCATTCAGTCATAAATGAAAAACAGTCATATCTTCATTTATTAGTGAAGATATTGACAATTAGAGAAGATCACGAAACGTTCCATTTTGCCCGACTCTCCCCTACAGTCCAGTCTTCGTACAAGATACTAGGCTTGAATCCGAGTGATACCCCCACTTTTCGGGTTGAATGGAGTTGAGACATTGCAGAAATTCCGAGAAATATATGCATCAATGATCTAGAACTCAATTGAATTTCAAAACGAATGAGCAATCGTTACAGTTGATAAAAAAATTAAACGCATGTTCAATTTCCTGCAATGTTTAAAAAATAATAATCCTGTGCAAAATGTAATTTACATGACGCTGAATATTCACGAATATTTTCAAATTTTTCTCACTCAATTTAATTGACAAATTTGATAATTGAAAACGGTTGAATCCTAATTGATTATTCCGTTTCAATTATTTCGTTTGGAATCCAAACATCTGACAATTCAAACTGAAAGATGATCGCGCTAGTTAGTTATCCGAAAACTCGGTCAGTTTACCGCGAGAATCCCCACCCACTGCCCCCTCGCGCTAGCATCATGAACTCCAATCCATTCTCCACTCGTCCCACAACTGTCAAGCTCAAGCCCACACTCCACATGTGTGTTATGTCAAAGTGTTTACAAGCAACACCGCTAACCATTTCCACTTTATACACTTTATTCGGTTAAATCAATTAGATCAATTACTCTCCATGTGACACAGAAAGCTACATGACACTCGTGAAGCTGTGGATGTAACTGAAAATTAACACGTGAAATATTGTTGATAGAGCAATGGCAACATTGGAGGACAAGATTTTGGGGGAGAAAAATGAGTATTATTGCAGTTCGAGTGAGGAAGAGGGTAATGAGTCTGGGGATTCTGATAAAGAGGAGGAGGCTGTTTGTGCCAAGGAGGAACCCAGTCGGACTGTTGAGTTGGATCAATGGGATGGTACCTCCAGTAATACTGGACCTAAGGGGGTCATTAGGGTATGCACTCCATTCTTACAACATTCTTAACAATAAAAACAATGAAAACGCTTTTTTCAATGTGAAGAATATTTTTTGGAACATGAGAAGTATTTCCTCAAGCATGAATACATGTTTTTCCACGTGAAAAACTTTTGTGAACATAAAAAAAATGTTTTTTAAAGCATGAACAATTCATTTTTTACTACAGAAAACATTACTGAAGACAAAATATTTTTTCAACTGAAAAATTCTGGGTATTTTTTAAACACTCCATATCTTTTTATATATTGAGAGAAATGACGCATTCATATTTGAATTTTTTTAATTCAATTCAACATTATTTTTCATGCAAATTCACGCTTCCAGGAGATTTTATTAATTTTATCTCATTAAAATTCTATTGACAATAAATTCACATATTTATTTGAAATGAATTATTCATTAATTTCAAACGAATTAAATAAGGAATTATCACGTGTTAATAATTTTTTTAACTCATGGAATCTTTATTTGGGTCAAGAAAGAATTTTTTCATTAGAAAAAAAAACTATTTGATGTGAGTAAAAACACAAGTAAAAATTAAATTTCAGTGAAAGTTTATCATGAGCTATTTGAAACTCGTTTGTTTTTTAATACATCCAGAGAAATGACGCATTTGAATAAAATAAAACTCTGCATTTATAAATCTTTTATTCACTTCGACAATATTTTGAGTAGAAATTTAAAATTCTAGGAAAATTTACCTAATTTTATTTCATTTCAATTCTATTAAAAATAAATTCATATATTTATTCCAATGAAAATGTTTCAGTTCTATAAAATGAATCGTTAATTAATTTCGAACGACTCCTTCATTCGAATTTCATGAACGATTTATGTAATCCAAATGAAGAATCACAAGTTAATAAATTTTTTTAAACCAATGGATTTATTATTTAGGTTAAGAAAACATTTTTTATATCTCAAAAAACTCATTTATTCATTTAATATAAATAAATCACAAATAAAACTCAAGTTTAATTGAAATTCATTCACTTTCCTCAAATAAACTTAATTTAATTCGACTAAATTATACCTCCGGATGTAGCTGAGTATTTAATCCCACAGGATTGGCAAAGATTCAAACAGCTTGAAGCTGAAAAACGCAAAGAGCAGGAGCGAGAGCGCGTGGAATTGATGAAAAAACTGACCCTCACCTGCAGAAGTACTTTAGACGACGATAAAGATAAACTCCAGGAGAATGACCCCGAGCTAGCTGAGCTCCTAGAAGACGACTTCCTCCTGGAGTACCAACGACAGAGGATGAAGGAAATGCTAGCTCAAGCCACTAAGCTCCGATTCGGAGAACTAATAAACCTAGCGAATGGCGACGACTTCCTGAAAGCAATTGATGATGAGGACAAGGCCGTCACTGTTGTCGTTCATATCTACGAGAAAAAGGCACCTGGATGTGATGCCATGAATGGATGCTTGATTACCTTAGCTCAGGAATATTCTTACGTCAAATTTTGTAAAATTCTTGGTGAGATTCATTGCAAAAGGGGTTTATTCGTATAAAACGAGGATTTTTATTGAGAGGATACAGCTACTCACGTATAAAAAAATCCTATAGAAATTTTCTATACGATTTTTTCGTACGTGTTTATCCCTCCAATTAAGCAATAATTAAGAATGTTCATCTAAAAGCACAAGTACTAAAAACCATTTTTTTTCAAGTAATTTCGATTTAAAATAACTTTAAAATAACATATTGAATATAAAACGTTTCACCACTTCGTTATCCAGAATAAAACTTATGGTCATAATTAATAATAATAATTTTCCAGGTTCCGCAGCAGGCCTCAGTAAACACTTCAAAAAATCCGGAGTTCCAGCCCTCCTGATCTACAAAAATGGTCAAGTAATCGGCAATTTTGTACGTGTGACTGAAAATCTGGGGACTGATTTCTACGCGTCAGACGTCGAAGGCTTTCTCCTCGAGCATGGAATTATAAACGATAAGAATAACGTTCCCAAGATCATCGCCGGCTCCAACGATAATGACGACAGTGATTAACTCGACAATACTCGAACATTTCGATCTCAAGGGGTTACCTGATTCATTATCCACGACAAAATATCAAAGGGAAAATATCCCCCAGAAATATTTTACCAGCAAAATCTTCGATATTGATTCTGCTGTGGGTATTTCTTACAGATTAGCTTTTGAAAGCTTAAAGTCTGAAGTGGTCCATGTTCAAGCTCAAAATTCACTGGAATTTCACTGAAATTTGATTGAAATCGATTTAGATGGAAAAATTATGAAATTTGAGATTTCAGTAATAATCCAATGAAAATTTAGTGTTGAGCAGCAGGAAGACGAGCAATTGATTAAAAATTTAAGCAATTCTACAAATTGCTTACATTTTGAAGCAATCCATGAGTATTCAGTACCACATTATACTGAATTTCCGATCAATTGATAATTCAAAAATATATTTACCTGAATCTTCCTGATTTCTATTAACTTTTATTGTGTAACTGAGCGGAAATTGACAGTTTTCATTGATTCTTCCATAAAATTCTATATTTTCAATGACTAAAATCGTTGATATTTCAGTGAAACTATAAACAAATGAAATTTTCAAAAAATTGTACTGGAAATTTCAGTCAAAAATTCTCAACAGATCGTCTTATTTTCACAAAAATTTCTTTGATTCATTTAAAAATTTGAAATTTCACAAGCTTCTTTTCCTTTAATGGAATTCAATACATTTTTTTACAATAATAGCTAGAATATCGAAGAAATTTCAGATTTTATTAAAAATATTGCTCAAAATACACGGATTTAGCCCCAAAACACAGTTCTTTTTGAGAAGCACATAATCTTTATTCAGAAAAATTATCGAAAGACAAATTTGTCCTGAAGATTTCGACGCAGATATTTTTGAAAAGATATTTGATCAAGGATAATAAATCGGGCGACCTCTCAAAGTAGTGAAAACGTATCACCAATTTACTCCATTTACAGTACAATATACACAAATACTTTTGACATCCTCTCACAGCATCTCCAACAATCGCTCCTCCTTTTTTATGGTCGCACAGAGGTCCAGGTACCTCTTCAGCACTTCATCGTATTCAGTCCCCTGGAGGTCCTCATACTGTTTCTTCAAGAGTTTCTTCCTCTTTATTTCCCCCTCGACATGGGCGATTTTCTCGTCCAACTCGTGGCTGATGGTCTTGAAGGCAGTGATCGTTGTCGGCGTCTCTTTGAACATCTTTATCGTACACGAAATTTTAGTGAGCCTCGCCTGGATCTCAGCTATTTGCGACTGGAGTAGCTTAGTCTCTGCCTTCTTCGTGTTAATCTCCTCGACGTCATCGTATTTAAGTTTCTTCCAGTCTTCCAACAACTCTGCCAACTTCACCACGTCCCTCTGGTACTCATTGCATACTTCACCTATTTTCTCCTTCCAATCGCTCAAGAGGGACTCGTTCATTCGGGATAAGTCGAGCCTAGCGCAGGATTTGTTGGTGTCCATTGCCTCTTTGATATTCCCACCTAACTTCTCGTATCTAGGAATAAATCAAGATATTAATTTAGGGAATTATTGTGGAGAGGAGAATTGAAACATTAATAAAGAGAAAATCGGTCAGACTCATCGTCATTTTTTTAACATCTAAGGAATTTGGGGATTCGTGGAACAATGAACAGTTGAGGGAATTATTTATTCATCATTATCTTTTAACATTTATTCAGTGACATCTCCAGGTGGATGAACTGTTTCGATTCCGTTGGAATAGTCATGTAGAAATCTTTTGGTTCTCACAAATATCTCCGAACCCATGGGGTTCATAAGAAAATATAGTTTTTTTTTTTTTCATATTCTATGAAATTGCCTGAACGCAGATGTCGATAAATTTTCTTGAACCACAATCTTTAGTTAATTAGCAAAATTAGAAAAAGTTTAACTAGAAAAATTAGCAAATTTATTCGAGAAAATCACCGTATTTGCAAAAAATACATTTTTCTTTACAGAAATCTCGGGAAAGAATGAGTTCACTAATTAATTACAAGAAATCTTTTTTTTATAATCTGTAACCATCTCTACAAAAAAGGTATTTTAATGAGTTTTCGAAATTTTTTTTCTTTGAAAGACGTTTCCAAAGAAATCAGGAATATTCATTCAAATCAGATGCTCTTGAATAAAATAAATAAAATAAATTTGCATCTGTAATGTGCAAATATTTTGGGGATTAACTTCATTAAATAATTTTGAAGGATCCCGTTGCTCATAAAATTCTCCTCAAATTTTCCACTCACGTTCTCCACCTCTTCATTACTCAAAAAAAATCAATGGAAATAAAAGAACGACTTGTGAAAAAAAAACGATGGAATAAAACAAGAAAAATACGAACTTTGTGATGAATTTCTGGCACTTGTCTCGGATTTTCCTTTCAACCTCAGCCTTGACCATTTTCCTCTCATCAGTATTCAACTCTGGTTTCGAGACATCAGTGATCCCCAACAACTGAGTCTGAATGCCATCCCCGATGTCCACCGCAACTTTCAGGTACTTGTAGACACTCTGCGCTTGGATAATTTGCCTCAACTTGGAGGAGGTCTCCGGAGGGAGGAGTCCCCCGTCATTCGCCACCTCCTGGAGACACTCCTGGATTAACTGAACCCTCGCAGCTTCAGTGATTGTCTCCTCGCACTCAGCAACGTCATTGAGCAGCCTCTCAGTATCCCCGTGTTTTGATGGTTGAGTGACATCGTGGGGCTGTGGACTCGAGCTGCGAATGACCGAGACCCCAGAGAAACCTTAAAAAGCAACCCCATACCATTAATTACGCAATAAATCTTAAATAAATGGGTAAATTAAGGAATGAAGAACTCTGGTAGACGGGATCTCAATTGGGAGGAAATTGCATTGTTGAAATCGACATGTTATAGTGGGAAAAAAACACCAGAAAAATTTGCAGAACACAGACGAAAAGATTTAAGCATATCCAAGTACTTCGGCTATTTTTTCTCCAGTGAAATGTTTTTCTAATTCTGTAGTCGAACATCAGAGCTTTCATTTGAGCCCCATTTGAGCCTAGTTTCCAGACATTTTACAATGATTTTATTATTTAAACTTTGCAGGTTTGAATTTGAATCTCGATATGGAACCGTTAGAAAACATTTTTAAATCTGAAAAAAATGAGAAAGCTTACTTTTGGAGGAAGATTGATGAAATAATTAAAACATTGCAATTTTTGAAAATGAAAAGCATTTTCTGTTAATCATTTATAACAATCGTAACAAATCGTAACAAATTTGTTAATATTCAGAATTTTACCAGAAATTGATTTCATGCCTAAAAAAATAAGGTTTCCGGATGTTTAAAGAATTTCAGTTGTTTATTTATACATAACGAATGTTTAAAAAACAAATAATTCCGCGCGAAATGTATGATTTGAAAAAAAAAATTCTCACGCAATTAAAATGACAATTTAAACGCAATTTAATTGACAAAGTTGATGATTGAAAATGGCTGAATCTATAGTGTAGTCTGTAGGGGGTAAGGGTGGGGTAAAATGGACACTTTAGACTTTTGTTTTAATTACTCATAACTCAGAAACAAATTTGTCAATTGAGTTTAGTTTAGGCTCATCACGAAGGGAAAAAATTTTTCTTTGCAATAAAAAAAGAATTATGCCATTCTATCAACATTTCAACCCGTCATTAACATTTAAAAAAAAGTCAAAAGTATCCATTTTACCCCAACCTCCCCTACTAGACTGTAAAAGATACTTGAATATCCTTTAAGAAGTAAAAACAACTTAAATTTTGAAGATTACAATCTTAAAGAAAATTCCAAGGGCCATTTGCACAGCCCTGTTAACCAAACAAATCGTCAGAATAAATTTATGTCTGGAGTAAATTTATTCATTGACAAATAGGAATAATGCACCGATACACCTCGTTTTTTGTTGAACTACCTTCGATGAACTTTTGATCGAAATTGATTGGCAGATTATTTTTATTCATTCCAATACTTAACTGAGGATTTTCTTAACTGCCCTTGACACAACCAGGCCCTACCCCCTTAAAAATTGTGAGCTAACATTTCCACTGCACTTGTAAATTTTTATCAACTCACAGTTCCATTGAATTCTCAAAAGATCCAGAACTTTGGCAAAAACTCGTTGGTCATGTCCCCATAAAACCTCAAAAAGTATAAAAATTTCATCATTCTTTTCTAATGAACACTCACCTCATTTTCACATCAACTTCAATCCTACCATCCACTCTCCCCTCACCAACATAATGAAAACTGTTTATATGAATCCTAACCCGAATTCCAAAATAGACTACCCCATTCCACCACAGAACCCTACCTCAATTCCTGAGACTCATTGAATCCATAAAATCCTCAACAATCCCGAAAACACAAGAAACATACCTGACAGCTGACTCGACTGATCGCCCTTCTGACTCATGTCGAATTGCCAACAAATAACGACTTGTTGATAATCAACCGGTGCATTTCAAAACAACAAAAACTGATGTGCAACAATCCCCCAGAGGGCGCCACTCACTGCCCCCCTTCCCTGCCCCACCCGCCCCTTAAACAAAACAGCATCTGCTGATTCGCAGAGTCGTCCACCCATGAAGAGAGAGTGTTGACTCCCGTTTTATTTGTACCACTTCCCCCGCACCGACTCAACAATCAACGTCAATTGACACAAGTGAATATTCGGGTTGTCGATGATGACACGTCAACAGTGTCAAAGAACATAAACACTGAAATTCGCTGGATTGCTGAATGGTGAATATCAACGTCAGTCTGTCCAGTGGAGGTGCGCTGAGATAAACATAAAGGTGTGTTGGCTTCGCGAGCGCCTGGCGAACGTCATTTTCTCACTCGTATATAACTGCATGAATGTTGTTTGTTGCTCTTCGATACCTGACAATCGTCAAGTTCAAGGCATTTGATTTGACGATTGCCCGAGGGATTCGTTACTCTCACGTGTCATGTGACACCAATTTTACCAATTATGTCACCCGTGACTTTCCACTTCATCGAATAAACGCATAGTCGTACTAATAATAAACGTGATAATGTTTTCCCTCAGGGTTATTTCGTAGAGTTCAGATGGAGCGGGTTTTGAAAGCCGTCCCAGTGGATCTGCGAGTTAAAATGGAGGCACTGGTGCACGATTTGTCATTGGCACTGGAGGAGAGCAGCAACTCGACGAATGTCAAGCGACGATGGGGCCTGAGGAGGCGTGCCAGGTCCACGGGGAACATTCGTAAGTGTAAGGAGGAACCAAACAAAATCTTTTAAAAATACCTGAAAATTATGTCATTCTTTTATCCATAATTCTGAGAAATTGAGACATTTGACTTTTGAAAGAGAAATAAATAGAACGACTCGACGTTATTATGCTTTCAGCTTCCCTGAATGCAAACAAACACTCAGAAGACAGTTCCTCCTCCATCTGTGACATTCGCATCCCGAAGACCTCAGTCACAAAATACCAGTCTGACAGTGATGACACAGACAGACGCGAGTCTTTCGCTCGTTTCTGGAATCTAAACACCATAAGCAACGTCGAGTCCGACTCTGTCAACGAGTACTTCGTCCCTCGGATAAACACAAAACGCAAGCGGAAGTTTAAGCGAATGGCAGTGGACTCCAACAACCCCTCGACCTCCCAGGCGATCACACAGAAGAAGAGACTGTTCAGGAACAACTGTGAGAACAGGTATTATTATATTAATTATTATTCACAATGTCCTTCCAATGACACATTTGTTAATCTTTATTCAAAACACTCTTTGGAAATGTTAAATTTTTTTACTGTTTTTTATTGTTCAATGATACTTTTTAGAGACTTCTACGTTATGCAAAATGAAATGGACATTCAGAAATATTTTCAATTATAAAGATAGAAAAACGGGAGATAATCTATCCGAGCTTTAAGGATATCCAAGTATCTTTTACAGTTTGGTACCGACCACACTATAGATTCAATATTTTTCAATTATCAAATTTGTCAATGCAATTGCGGGAGAAAAATTTGAAATAAATCATGAATATTCAGCGTCATTATAATTACATTTTGCAGTGAATTAAAAATTTTTTAAACATACGTTGTTTATAAATAAATAGCTGAAATTGTTTAAACTTTCGGAAACATAATTTTTTTAGACATGAAATCGATTTCTGGTAAAATTTTGAATATCAATAAATTTGTTACGACTCGGAACAAATGATTTTTGTGGTGGAAAATTGTTTGTTTATAACTCATTTATAGAAAATGCTCGTAATTTTTAAAAATTGCTAATTTTAAATTATTTCATGAATACTCTTCCAAATACAGACTTTCTATTTTTTTCCGATTTTTAACATCTTTTCTGACCGTTCGATATCGAGATTAAAATTCAGACATGCAAAGTTTAACCAATGAAAACAGGGAATCAGTAGCGAAGTGGTAAAATGGTTTATGTCGATTTTGGCTATTTGCCGGTTTTCAATGAATATCTCAGAATCTAAGGGAGATAGCAAAATTGTTCATAAAACCTTTTATATGGCACTTAATTCGCCCTACAAAAAAGGTCCTTACAAAAATTTCGCTATCTCCCTTAGATTCGGAGATATTCCTCAAAAACTCAGATAAGAGCTAAGTTGACTTGAACCGTTTTACCACTTCGCTACTGAAACCATTGTAAAATGCTCGGAAACTTAGAGTCAAACGGGGCTCAAACAAAAGCTCTGATGTTCGATTACAAAAGTCGAAAAGCATTTCACTGACGGTATTTTATCCCCCAAAATTTATTCACCAGCCCTGAACAATGTTTTCACCAGGTACAGTACAATTTGGTGTGGCAAACGCAAGCGCTCCTGTCGAGAGCGTTCAATAGACTGCGAGATGCGTTCGCCGAAGCCCACGAGGAACTCCAAATCGAAGAGCCACCGGGGCAAAATGCGAAGTGAGAACGCCATGGACTGCTCGAGGATATCGAGCTCGAGTATATCCTCGAGTGACTCGGAGGCGGGAATCAGGGCGAACGAGGAGGATCACGAGGGGGACGACGAGCAATCTGACTGGATCGGGGAGTCCAGCTGGTGGGACGACGAGAGTACGACCGAGGAGAAGGTCATGTCCTCGGATCCAGCCCTCCAGACGCTGATAAACTATCGCCAGAGGGTCTTGAATGGCAGGGAAATTCGAGCTGGCAGGCGCCACGTGGACAACAAGCCTGGGTATTCCATCATCACCTCGGCGAATGAGAAGGTCTCGAGATTCCTTCAAGACCCCTCGCAGAGTGAACTTAAATTGCACGCGATGAGGCAGCCTGAGAGGGAGAAACTACGAAGACTTGCAAATTTGTACAGCCTCTCTCTAAAGGGGGACCTGAGCTGTCCCATTCTCTACAAAACCAGGCACACCACCCAGGCGATATGCGTCGATCAAGTATCCTTCAACAGGTTCTCTGATTACAAGAGACTGAGGAAGACACCCCCACAATCGCCGAATCCTGAGGTCATTGTGGCTAATCCAGAGGTGCCGGTGTTCAGTGGAAATTTTGCTGTTCCTGTTGTCAATCACTCGCAGAACAGCTCGGAACCCATGAGCTTTGAGTGGGGGGCGCATAATATGGAGGCTGAGGTCGGGAGCACTCCCAAGTTTAATACCCATTTTGGACAGTCCAAGTCTAGTTGAAGGGGTGAGGCTGATGGGGAAGTGGTGGGGGCTTTTTGTTGGAATAATTTTTTAGCTTGGGAGATTTCCGTGAGTTAAAAAAACATCCACCAACTTTTTCCCGTCAATCAACTCGTTTTGGAGGCGTTTTTGAGATAATTTGTAGAACATTTGGAATACACTTGCAGTTTATTTTGCAAATATTCTTATAGATAATTGTTTTTTGTAGAGAATTTTCAAAGCTGAAAAAATCATCTCCTGATCTGTATCAATTGCAATTCAAATCACTTTGGAAATATTTTTTTTTACAATTTTCAATGGAATTGTTCATTTTTTAAATATTTTCTGAGGGAAATCAGCTTCAAAAAACCTTTCTTTGATTTTTTTTTGAATCAACTCGTTTTGAAGATATTTACGAAATTATTTGGATAACGTGCAACCGAATGTAACAGAGAGGCATTTTTTAAGTCTAAAAGTTCCGATAGTAAAGAGAAAAATGTGCTCAGGCTGTTGACAAAACATTCTGTTCTGTGCGAAATTTCCGATTAATTACTCTCACCACTTCCAACAGAATAATTCATCAATGTTCATAATCTTCCCATAATTTCATAAGCAAAGCTGGTTTGAAATCTTTCGTTTTCACTGTAAGAAAACACTGTCCCTATCCTTAAACCAATAATGGAGGGCGGGGTAAAATGGACCCTTCACTCACTTAAAATTAATGAATTAATTATTAATTTTGTCAATTAATTTCTTCGCACCTTCTCACAGCCGTAACAGTCCTCCACGGGATTTCATTGAATTTATCCACAAGAAAGCATCACAAAATAATTCTTTCAGTGCCCACTAATTTACAAACTTCGAAATCTTTTCATTAGTTAAATCCTGATCATTAAATTGATAAAAATCGCTTCGAAACACAAAAACAAAAAATATATTAATTTACCTAATTGTCCGAAGATGTTAAGGACATACCAGAGCTCTAGAGAATATAAAAATATAATTAATTGGCTTATGTTATCGCCAATTAATCACTCGTTGAATTGCTGACAAAATGGGATTTTTTTCCATTAAAAATACAATTCTCTCCCTCGACTGAGCTCAATTGACGAATTTGTTCAGCAGTTATAAAAATTAAACAAAGTCAACTGTCCATTTTGCCCCACGCTCCCCCAAACACGAGAATACAAATGTAATTGCTACGGCAATGGTAGTACTACCGAAAGGATTTCTTAACGATGTAAACGTAGATCGATCTAATGAGAATTATATAAAAATACAACGAACACTTTATTTGATTATTTCAATAATCCTGAATTATAAACAGATATCTAGCTATAATTATTGTTACATTTGTCCCATTTTCTTGGCATTCGCCATTGCATTTTCGTTCATGAGCATCTGATACTCCTGGAATCGTTGGGAGACCCTTTGGTTCATCTTGAGGTACTTCTCCATGCAGTTGAGGGCACATTTCTCCTCTTTATCTCGAATGTCCCTTGTTGTGAAGTCGGATATGCAGTCGATGAAGCACACCTCTGATAATTTGTTGTACGACGTCAAGAAGTCTTTGAACTGAATTTCAAAATAATTTTATTGTTTTTTTTCCTTGTCTGTACAACATTATTTTTATTGAAAATTTTTGTTGAAAATAATTTCATCATTCTTTTTCCTTGTCTGCATAAAATTATTTTTATTGAAAATTTTTGTTGAAAATAATTTCGTTATTCTTTTTTCTTGTCTCCATAAAATTATTTTTTTACATATTAAATTTTTTTTTTTGTGAATACGTGTGAAGGGGATCGTTTGAGGATTTTTAGATAATGAATTAAGGGGTTTTCACGTAATTAATCAATGAAAAAACTCACTGATTTGATCTGCTCAGCCTCGACATCGACAGGCACCCCAGGAACAGCTGCTGCCATTGTCAAAAAATTGAATTAATTCACAAATACAGCGATAAACAATCCCCAGTGGAAATCTCAATTTTTTTAACGATTGAGGTTATGGTCTACACGTCTCGGAACTCCAAACTGGCTCACACTGAGTAGAATACTCGCCGGCGCAGTTCAGTAGCGAAACGGTAAAACCGTTCGAGTCGATTTTGACTAGTGGCCAGTTTTCAATGAATATCTCGGAATCTAAGAGAGATAGCAAAATTTTTATTCATCCCTTTTTTGCAGCCCTCGATTCGCTCTGAAAAAAAGGTTATTACGAAAATTTCGTTATCGCCCTTGGATTCGAAGATATTCTTCAAAAACTCTTTTGTTGTGCTGCTGGTGCGTTAAAAACGATTGTCTCGGCGTTTCAAAGGGAATTGAAATTGCGGATTGATTAACTTTTGACGTAGGACGCGTGGAAACAGGTATTTAGTCGTAATTTTCATCGGTTTTTCCGTATGCGCGGCATCTGCAGGTGCCAGAGGCATTATTAAGGGTTGAAATTGAACAGATGTCCAGTGGGGTCCGTTATAAACAGAACAAATGACGGTTAGAGGTCCGGAATTTCTTGGGAACAATCGAATCAGTGAGGTGGAGTTGTCATTGTTAATTACGGTTAACTGAATTATTTCGTGACTGGGGTTTCAGGCTGTTGGAGAAAAATGTTAATGTCTTGAACGGTTTTAGGGGGAATTTTGTGGAGAGCGACGCATTGAATTCGATTTAGGAAAAAAAGAAATTCTAAGTTTCACTGAAAATTCTATGGAATTACAAATCTTTGAACAGCAGGAAGACGAGGGTTCTCCAATTTAGTTGAATGTTCAAATTCGAAATTGAATATTTAAACGATTAACGCATTAATTAATCGAGAATTCAACAATGGATTTATTTGCATTTTGATTACTTCTGTGAATTTTAACGAAATGATCGAACTGGAATTGAATGTTTCCATTCATTTCTCCAGAAAATTTTACATTTGCAGTGACGAAATTCCGTGAAATTTTAGTGGAATTATGAAGTGATAAAAATTTGCAACAAGTAACAAAATTCCAGCCAAGGATTTTAAATAGTGTTTTATGTAGAAAATTGATAGACTTATATAAAAATCAACTTGAATTTTCAAACAAGAGTTAACCAAAGAATCTTCTGCACCAAATTACGTTAAATTTTCAATTTTTTGAAAATTCAAAAATATTTTTTATACCTGAACTTTCCTGATTTCGTTCACCGAAAAATTCGGTTGTGGCGCTCTAATTTTTGCACATCTTACACTAATTTTCCGTGGAATTAATGCTAAAAATTATTAATTTCAGATGCCACATCTGAATTTTTTTACGACCATGGCTTGGCCCCATGGGTTGGTGAATAGCACATTAATTCTTGCTAGAATTTTTTCTCCGTGTAGTAATCTAAATTTCTCCTGTGAGACATAATACACTATTCACTCCAGTCACATTTCATGAGCCCCCTGTAAATAAAAAAATATCGTAGGAAAATCGAAATAATATTCGAAATTCCGCGGGCCTCACAAGCAGTTTCCAGCGCTCTCTGCCGGAGCATCCCAGTATCCCCAGCGATTCGGGAGATGTCGTTAGTTGTGCCTCAGACGCTCGAGCGTCCGCTACCGCCTCGACTCTCTCCCCAGTTATTTCAATAAAAACCGAATAACAAAACGTTTTAAACGTGACCGAATGCCCCTGAAATGAGCCCCAACAGCTCGGGGACATCCGCACGTTCGAAATCCTCAAAATCATGCCGTCAAAAGCCCCAAAATCACGAAATTCCGGATTCTCCCAAAAACGCGGGAAACCGTCATCACAACAACAAAACAAAACAGTCGGTCTGGTCCCGAGAACTCCCCGAGTTCTTCCACACAAAAATAAACTGAGAGACCCTCTGAGGGGACGTTCACCTCTGAAAAAGAGTTACGAGCCATTTGATTTCACTGAGAATAATGATCGAGTTGAATTCCAAGGAAATGTCGGTGGAATTGACGAGCCAGTGCAGTCACTGAGGCGTGAAATCAATGAATGGAGGAGACAGGAGATGATGAGTGATAAAGTGAGGGAAAAACTCGAGAGACTGACGATTCCAGAGCCTCCCAAATCGTTAAGTAAGTCCCATTTTTTTTAGATAAAAACTTTGTGGAGAGGAAATGGTTTAAAATGTGGACGACTCAGGGAATATTCTGCTTTGTGCCTTTGGCCGAAATAGCTCAGCTGGGAGAGCGTTAGACTGAAGATCTAAATGTCCCCGGTTCGATCCCGGGTTTCGGCAATTTTTTTTTAATGAAAATTTGAAATCGTAAGGAACATGTTGTGAACTTCGTGCTTGTGATGAAAGTCCTTTTTTGCAGGTGAAGGTGGTATTTCATCGATTTCTTCATCTATTCATTGTGTTGTTGGTGAGGGACAGGCAGTGGGGTAAGTCACTATTGTTTAACATGTGTTGGAGCTGATACTATCGATAATAATTTCATTATTGCGGTTTTATTGAAGAGATCCTTTGGATATTTGTTGATGGAACACTGACAATAGTTGGGTCATTAGATGTGTGAATTTTCCTGCTCGTGATAATTTAAATAGAAGTAGATCTACTCTGTGTATTAATTATTGGCAGATGGACCTTCGAACGCTCAATTGGGAAATCGTCGAAAAAAATGCGATTTTTTTTACACTTTTCAACAATAGAATTTATTTTTGTTTTCAAATTTTCTACTCGGCCGGTCAACAGATATTGAAAAGCGAACTTGAGCTGTGCGACGATTCTCTCGCATGGTGACCAATTTAGGGTTTAATTAAGGATATCCAAGGACTTTAGCTATTTTTTCCCCAGGGAAATACTTCTTTTTTTTTGTAGTCGAACATCTGAAGTTTCACTTCAGCCCCATTTGCCCCTAAATTTCCGGACATTTTACAATAATTTTATTATTTAAACTTCGCAGGTTTAAATTTGAATCTTGATTATTGAACGATTAGAAAACATTTTTGAAGGCGCATTCATGAAATAATTTAAAAACAGAAATTTTTGAAAATTACCAGCATTTTGTATAAATAATTAAACAATTAATTTTCCAGAATAAAAATCATTTGTTAGGAATCGTGACAAATTTATTCAAATTCAGCATTTTACCAGAAATCGATTTCAAGCCTAAAAAAATAGGTTTTCCAAACTTTAAGCAATTTCAATTATTCATTTCTAAACAACGACTGTTAAAAAAAAATCATAATTTTGTGCATAATGTAACTTGAATGACACCGAATATTTATGATTTTTTTTTAAAAATTCGCACGCAATTTAATTGACAAAGTTAATGATTGAAAATGGTTTAAATCGTTTTAAGCCTAAAAACATGAGGTTTTCCAAAGTTTAAACAATTTCAATTATTGATTTTTAAACAACGAATATTGAAAGAATCATAATTCTATGCAAAACGTAATTTGAATGGCACTGAGTATTCACGAGCTGTTAAAAATTTTTCTCCCTCATTTTAATTGACAATTTTGATGATCGAAAACGGCTGAATCTACAGTGTGGTCTATACCAAACTGTAAGATCCACTTGGACATCCTCAACTATAAATGTCACCTGCCCATCATTTACGTCTAAAACACTCCGACAACTCCCTGACTAATTCACCCCCAAGTCCCCCATCCCCGACCCTCAAAACACCTCTACACCTCATTCACACATAATAAACCTCACAAACCGCCATAACAATTCCCCCGATAATGATCTCTCCCATAACCATGACACAATATTGAATTACTTCCCCTGACGAAAACAATTCACGGTCACAAGATGTGAAAGATAGAGAGAAACGAATGAGTTATCGTCGGAGTGACATAACTGTTTCCCCTATTTACACATTTTACACTGAATAAACATAAGACTCGCCGGAAGGGGGTGGACGGGGGGGAACTGCTTATCCGTGAAAGGTCTGGGATGGTTACGACGTCATCTCTCCAGGAATTTTCGAAAGTCACTCGAGACGCCCGAAAACCAACCGGTTTCGTGTGTACGAGGAAAAAAAGAATAACAACCTCGTGACCCGCATTTTTTTTTCTCTCTCAATCCTCCAACTGTAAATTCTCGGGACGAAACGGTGATGCGTAACCAAAACTTTATGGATTATTCAGAGGAATTTTTGACGCGAGAATGATGGATCGGATGCTGTGGAGTTTCCTGGATATTATATGACGTATTTATTCATGATTTCGGCTCTCAATCGTGTAATCAGATAAGCCCATTGATAAATTGTCTCTGGGTGGAGGGTGGCGGGCAACCCTGAGCCCTCCAGCCCCCAGATATTATTCCAAAGACGAGGGACTCAACAAAAGCTCCGTGTCATCCCCAATGTTCTCCCAAACAATTTAACTGGGGCAGTATCATTCGATTAACTGCGATTAGATTCCCTCAATTATCCTTAACAATCGGCAAGGAACGAGGTAATAGACATTGGAATGACAGTCACGATTGAAAAATGGTAATGAGCCAGTGCTGTAGGTTAGTGAGAACAAAAAGCGCTTGCTAATGGCCCTCGATCCGTTCTCCAAATAAAACAGTCAACGAATTCCCGTCACGTAGACGTAGTAAAAATATTTTCGGCCACGCCAGGAGCGACTCCAGCGTGTTTTTCCTCCTTGGGGACACCCTAGTTATATTTACAAAAATAATTCATTCCTCGGCTGAATTCATTTTCAAATTCTCGAGGAGTCGAGTCTCGTAAATTCATCATCGTCTCTTTGGAGTTTCCCTTTTTGCCCCCTCTGTTCCTCGATAACGACCCGGTCGTGTGGATCGGCTATTCATCCAGCATCATCTCGGTCTATCCACAGCGTGATAATAATGTAGGTTAGGTTCCCAGCGGTAACACGAGGCAAAAATCAACATTCCACGCTGTCCGTGTGTGAGAGAACACCGCGCGGCTACGGCTGTGTTCATTTTTTCTTTTTGCGAAAAAAGCGAGGCGTCTTGGGAACCGGTTTTCTGCAGTCGTAAAATGGCGCAGACAGTGACCGAAGATTTTTCATGCCTCATTGGGTGGATTTTTGAAAGATTCTGCGGCACTGGTGGAAGGACTCATTCATTGGTGACGAGGTTTATTGAGGATGTCCTAGTACTTTGGCTCTTTTTTATCCGGGAAATGATTTTCCACTTTTGTCGGTGAATATCAGCGCTTTCATTTGAGCTCCTTTGGATCCCAGGTTTCCGGACATTTTACGATGATTTTATTGTTTAAACTTTGCGGGTCTGAATTTGAATCTCGATGTTAAACCGTTAGAAAAATTAGAAAGTTTACTTTTGGAGGAAGAATGATGAAATGATTGACAAATTGCAATTTTTGAATATTACGATAATTTTTCATAGATCATTTGTAAACAATCAATTTACCGACGTAAAAATCATTTCTTCAGAATCGTAACAAATTTATTCATATTCAGAATTTTACCAGAAATCGATTTCATGCTTAGAAAAATGAGGTTTCCGAAAGTTTAAACAAGCTCAATTTTATTATTTATAAACAAGGAATGTTGAAAAAATAATAATCGCGTGCAAAATGGAATTTGAATGACGCGGAATATTCACGATTTTTTTCAAAATTAAACTCACGCAATTTAATTGGAAAATTTGATTATTGAAAATGGTAGAATCTATTGAACCGTTGGAAAACATTTTAAAAATGTGAAAAAAAATTAGAAAGTTTACTTTTGGAGGAAGAATGATGAAAGAATTTGAAAATTGCAATTTTTGAAAATTACGAGCATTTTTTATAAATCATTTATACAGCATCAATTTTCCAATTTTTCACAAAATGTAATTTGAATAACGCTGAATATTCAGGATTTTTTTGAAAATTAAATTCAAGTAATTTAATTGGCAAATTTGATGACTGAAAATGGTTGAATCTATACTGTGGTCTGTACCAAACTGTAAATGATACTTGGATTCATCATGATTGGATACTTGGATTAATATATTCCACATACGATGAATTTTTTGTAAAATTCTATGGTACATAGTTTTCGCAATATTCAACTCTAAAAAATGGAAATTTCGTGAAATCATTTCTTATTTGATTCAAACAATTAATTAACAAACAATTTCTTATTTGATTGAAACATTTATTGTTGCCTTCATCAACAACACATTAGAATACAAAAACTGAATAACTTACGAGAATGCAATAAATTAAGTCATTTCGATTTTTTCCCGAAATCGATAAGGACTAACTTTTGGGGGATATTGTCTTGGGATACACCTTAATGAGACCAACTGAATAATGGTTGATTTTCTGGAGAACGCTCTGGGTGACAGAAAAGTCGGAGCAACTGCATCATCATTCGTTGATGGATAAGATTTTTTTTTCAAGCAAGCATCTAAAAAAATTGTCATTTTTTTCGACTCATTTATCTCCATTTTCGAAGTCTTGAAGCAGATAAACTATCAATTTTAAAGTAGACCCCACAAAAGCCCATGCACAGAGAAAAAAATTATTCAATTTTTTTCAGAGCCGCTACATTAAATTCATCTTAATCATTAGGAAATTTAGTTTCACGTGTTGTATGTGTTGATGATTCACCGAATCCTCAATGTTCGCGGGATTATATTCTGCGTCGACACAATCCTCCCTTCGCAATAGCCACTCACTCAAAATCGAGGGGGGTATTGAGAGTTTTCAATCGATATAATCATCACCCAGGTTTTATATGCCTTTTATTTCTTTTTGTGAAACTGGGCCAACCGATCGCAACGGACTTTCTCCCCTTTTTCCGCTCCAGTGTCTTTTTGCCTCTCCCCTCGATTCTTTTTTCCCATTTTTTTAACGCAATGTTGTTTCTGTGACGTGGTCTGGAGATTCTAGACCCTCTGAGAATAGACCCTCGGTCTGGTTCAACTGCGCTGACGTTGCGTGCAAAGAATACATTCTCCATGAGCCTCAGTTATTTAAATTCCGCTATTTGTGCATTCTTTATGACGTGGGGAACTATGTAGAATCAGGAATATGATTAACAGACATTGAAAACCGCGAAGGGGAATGGAAACAGCCTTTTCTATTCTTGTTCCTAACATTTGTTCTTTCCCTCTATGTTATAAAAATCCAAATCGACTCCTGGTAATAAAAATTTGGAACTCGAAATTAAGGCTACAGAAATTAAGGGTCACAAGAGTCCAAATAAGGGTAATGAGGGTCAGAATAAGGGTCACAAAGATTAGATTAAGGGTCATGAGGGTCAGAACAAGGGTCACAAGGATCAAATTAAGGGTCATTAGGGTCAGAATAAGGATCATGAGAGTCAGATTAAGACTCATGAGGGTCAGAACAAGGGTCACGAGGATCAAATTAAGGGTCATGAGGGTCAGAACAGGAGTTACAAGGGTCAGATTAAAGGTCATGATAAAGGTCACAAGGATCAAATTA